TGTTGAAATCCTCTGCTATCTCTCTGATACCAACACGATGATTTTCGAGCACTGTTTCTCTAACTTGATGATTGTCACTAAAAGAGGTGGTTGGAGGACTCGCATGAGACAAGTTGACTTGCGCTAACTTCACGACCATGAGAGATGAAACTACACATGAACTTAAAAAATGCTTGTACCAATCTAGGAAAAATTATTTAACGATTCCGTTTGCGCGCACAGTTATTATCGACCAGTCCCTGCCAGGTTTAAGCTTAAGGTAAACCTCGGTAAAAAAAATGTTCAAACACTTCACAGCTATTTGAAAATACAGTCTGAATAGGTGAGATATTTACTACCGAGATATTCAAATTATCAAATTATAATCTGTTTAAGTAAAATTTTCTTAGAATATTTTTACCAAGATAGAAAAACCACATTATAAATTCTCTATCTACATAATAATTCATCCTCGTCTTAGTGCAAGAAATTATCGTACTTAAACATTATTTGCCATGTCTCATGGCTATTTACCATGTCTGGGCCATTAATCATTTTGCTACAGCTTAATGGCAGCAGTCCAGCTGGACAGGCGACAATAACAAGATTCGAGGTTAACCGTAAGGGATACAGTCGTTGAACAAATCAATTAAAGCTAATTTGTAGAGATGCTAAGCAATAAATGTGTATTAATAGAATAGTCGACAGCAAAATAGCAGCGCATAAATAACAGAAATGCATTTCGATTTAACAAGAAATTATTTAAATTGCTTCCTGTATGCGTGACCTCAGTTTCTCAATGAAACAGTTCTCGCTTATTGCGGCAAAATCAACACAAACTTTGGCTATCAACTGACTGCTGTCTCCACACAGCATCAATAACTTGTATAATTAAGTGCATAAGGGATAAGAAAGAATGTGCGCTACGGTAGCCGAGAGCGAAATAATCTCACCTTCTCTATATTGGTCCTGTACTCGCCACTCGCCATAGCCATGGCACATGACAGGCTTCCCTGTGTACACCTATAACTCATTTATGCATTTACATATTGACAAACACGCTCTGGTGGGCACGAATATCCGGCCTGACCTGACGTCCTGGCTCAACGTTCAACTACGTGTAAGTCTTATTTAGTTCATCACTCCAGCTGTCCAGCTGTCATATGCAGCACAACGTCACATATTACATACATATTATATGTATATAAATGGGATGTCTATAAAAATGGTGAACTAGCGAAAAGGAAAATAAAACTTCTCGGCTCGGTCGAACATTCAGACATGAAAACAGTAATATTTTTTAATTTTGAAAACTCAAGTGCCTTTGCATTTAACAGTTTCAGCCGTACGCTGAGCACGTGGGGTTGCGGTAAAGAGCGAATTAAGAAGTAAAGAGTTGCGTTGTAGGTTGGTCAGAAAAGCAGTGGATAGCAAATTTGAAAGTTGCGGTTTACTAAACAAAATTGAGCCAAAACATTTACAGATGTCAGTATGAGTTAAGTGCTTTAACTAAAAAAGTGGATTAACCACAACTGGATGTTACTTATGACTATTAATAATCTCGGAAAAAAATTTAGAAATTAAAAAAATAGTTTAAGTACCGGGAAATAAATAAAAAAATTTAAATTTATACATAAATTACTGACTGAAAAATTGTATATTGTATTGGTATAATGTTATTGGCGTAATTGAAGAATTACTGTACATTTTTTGCAGTAGTTTCAATTTTATAAAGTATTAAATTAATCTATAATTTTCGAAAAGAGCATTTCAGACTCAACCAAATGCTTATTTAAAGCAACCACTTACGAGAACTCGTATATAGCAAAAATACTAATTTAAGCAACAATCGTACATACATATATACATGACAGAGAACATCATTCATTTTACTGTCATCCCACATTTATTGCCCACCGCGCGCTTGGTTCGCGGTTTGTTCCACTTTCCTCAAATTAACTTAGCGCTCAATGAGTTGAGCAAAAATCAGGCAGAACTACGCGCGAATTTTCTCCAATGGCCGTTAGCTTATGTTCTCCAAACTTTCAAAGCCTTTTTCAAATGATCTTCCGAACATACTTCCACGAACACTATGTTGTTTTGCCAACTGTATCAGCGACTAAAAATTCATTTATTTTTGTATTACTCGTAGCGTGAAAGCGCAGCCTTTCGCCGAGCGTTAGTCATATACAGTTTGACTGCGCCAAAAGTTTTCGTATTTCATATTTCACCCTCAATTTGATGCTGCTCGCTTGACTAGCGCTAGCGCGCTGTCTGTCTGTTTTTTGCCCACTTTTTTTTCCTTTGCAGCGCTTCATCTCATTTTCCTTTACTGACACACACATACACCTAACTCTCAAGGCTCTTCTCTATCGCGCTACTTCCTCATCACTCGCAAAGTTCAAGTTTTCATTTTCACTTTACACACCCCGTCCGGTCGACATCAACGCCTTACCGAGCCACCCACCCACGGACTTGACGTAATTCAATTTTGTCAGACGAGCAAAAACTTTTCGTGTTGTATTTTTATCAATGTTATTAACATTTTTGCTCTTCTCATTTGCTGTTTTTGTTGTTATTAATGTGGTTGCTGTGTGACTAGTTATTCAACTAGTTATTGCTTATGTAGCCGCTGCAATTGTTGTAGTCCCATTTGTTTTTATTTGCGCGTTGTGGCTCCCCCGCGTCAGCGCTTGTGCTTGTACTCGTCATGTTACGAAAAATAATTACCAACAACTTTTGCTTAACTCATTATGTTACCCTTGTGTCATTTTAACACCCCTTGCAATTTATGCGCGTACTATATAGTCTGCTGTTGTTGTTGTAGTTGTAGTGGCTCAAATAAGCACTTTATGTGCCAAATTTATATTTCACTTTGACTTTTTGTTATGAAATTTGTGCAAGGATAATTATGACTCTTTTATATGTATATGTGTGTGTGTGTGTGACAAAATGTTTGCTTTGAGTTTGAAGAGTCTGTAATGTAATTGTCAGCACTTTATGTGTTGGAAAAAGAGATAAGTGTGGATGTCTTTAAATACGATTTAGTTACGTTGTTTTAACAGATTTTAGAGAAAGAAAAGAAAACATGATATAAATTTTCAATGAGAAGAAAGCTTTTGTGTTAGGGTTTTTCGGAGGTCTGCAAGGAAGGCTTAATACTTTTACTCGACAAATGCGAATTTTTTTTTTGGCAATTCAGCCTCGAATAAGCATATAATTCGGCATAGCAGCGTCCAGTAACCGTTTTACTCTTTTCCAGGCAATCCGTTGAATATGTGAACTATTGCGTATTTTAGAAAACGATAGTCATCACTTTTGCGGATAAAAATAAAGTTTTCGACATTTGCAGAGATAGTTCACCAAGTGAAATTCACCGTATCGAATTTTCCGTGGCCGCTAGTCTGTAACAGTAGTTCCATATTTCGTCGAAGTTCATGACAGGGCACACAACTTCTTCGGATTACAGTTAAAAAGCTTCAAACGCTTCTGTAAAGTGATCTTACGATTGCATTTCTTTAGCCGGTACCCATCAGGCGGACAGCTTTCTCATATCCAATATTTCATACAGGATATCAGTCAGACGGTTTATCGGGATACATACTGTCTCAGCTAGCTCACTAACCTTCAACCAAGTGTCTGCCAATGCGAGATCATATAAATATCTTACTATCCATTTTGGTAGTCGTAAAGATCCACCTAAAAAATATGCATAAAGTTATCCAAATACAGCAAAAACAAGTCGAAATGTCAACAATTGTCAAATCGATTGATCTCAATAATTTTTCTATCAGACAATACAAAATTAACCGTTTCAGAAAGTTGAATATAAAATGGTAACATTAAGATGTTTAAGACTTTTTCATATTCTTTCCGAGCTCTAGGTTACTAGTCTATAGACATATATGCTCCCTTTAATAATACGGCGCTCTTAAGCTTTTGACGAGTACTCACTTTAAGCATTGAAAACTATCAGATCATCAATGAAACTTATAGGTAGAGCAAAATACATTATTACAAAAAAATCATAGCCATCTGAAATATTCCATCTGTCAACCATTACTATCGTGAATGCTGATGTCGCATCCAATATGAGAGCATTCAGCGGGTTGAGAACGAAGTATTATATCAACTTCAAGGAAGTGCCTTGGAACATTTAGACATTTCGGCCTTCCATCAGTCTGGAGCTCAATAAGTTTTAAAAAGTCCAAAGGATTACAAATTTGCGTTTATGCTTTAATTAGTGGTTTCTTAAGGCTTATCTCAGATATCAAATCTCAGCTTTAGATTGTAATAATTTTGAAGAGAACAAGACAAAGACAGTGAGAGCAAAAGCGAGATAATACATAATAATGTATAAAGGGAGAGAGAGAGATAGAAAAAGTGATATAGGAAGAGAGAAAATTAAGAGATTAAGTCAGAGAGGGTAAGATAAAGACAGCGAAAGAGCGGCATACATACCATAATAATGTACAGAGAGATAGAGAGACAGAGATAGGGGGAGAGGGTAGAGAAGAGTAAAAGATTGTGTCAGAGAAAGTCAAACAGAGATAATGAAAGATAATACGAACAAGAATAAAAACATGATCTCTCGTCATCTATATATAATAAGAAAAATACATAAATTAAATATTTTCAAACTAAAATCATAACAACCAATTATTTTAGATATGATAACTTGAGCACGCAATGCTTTTAAATTACATAAACCAAGAGAAGCTGGGCTGAGCACAAACTTTAACAAAATTAGTTGAGCAATAGGTTAGAGAGACTAGAGTGAGTGTCTTCTGATTTTGTATCTTTCAAATTTCAAAATGAGGAAACCAAGAAATACATTGCAAAATATTCTTCGAGCGGAGATTTGGTACCAGATATCTAGATAACACAAATAAAAACGGATGCGTATATAAAATATAACAATAAGCTTTTATCTTAGAAAATTTATTAAATTTTACTAAAATAATATATCTACAATAAAAATAAATGACTTTCTCCTTTATCCTCTCTCTTTTCAATTCTAGATGCCATAACATGGGCTATTCCTCTGAGGCTGCCAAAACGAGGACACACCGCAGCAACAACGTCAACAAACAGCAAAGCAATAAAAGCAGCCCAAATCGTCATACAGAAAACAACAACACCAAAAACAATATTTGTAACAACTATACAAGTAACGGCAGTAGCAATTCGCGTTTATTGAGTTCAGAGGTGATCTGTCAAAGCAACGCCGTTAGCGACGAGGAGGCGACAATCACAAAAGGGACTAAGTGGCGACGACAGACAAACTACACAACGAGAGTTATAGCAATCAAAAATACACAAAAGAGATACACGGTCGTAGGGAACGCGAAACAGGAAAACGAGGAAGAAGAAAGCGGCGTCGAAGCGGAAGAGACTGCAAAGCAAATACAAATTGAGTGCAACCACAGCGAGGGCGTTGAGACGGAAGCGGTTGCGGTTGAGTCTGAAGAAACGCAAGGCACAGACGGCGCGCGTTGTAAATTGAGTGCGGCTATTGTAAATAAGTGGAGAACAGCGTTAGACACTAACAGTAACAACAAATATAACTGCAACAACAGAGATATACGCGGCAAAGAGGGCGGTCCTTGTGCAAACTTTCACCGCAAGAAGGACGGAAATAATAATTGTTGCCACCGACAGCTATCGCGAGAACAACTGCCACAGACGCGTGTCGCGCTGCCGCCACAAGCGGAAGCAGCCGAGCAACAAGAGCAAACACAAACGACAGATGAAAATGAGTTGTGGTGCAAAAGAAGCGCCGGTTTGTCGCCACCTACGGAAACGGCCACGCGGACGACTGCGTCTGTCAGCGACTGCTATGGCGCCAAGACTCTAGCAGTGCGCGGCGAAGACAAGCAATGTCTACAAGAATTATTGCAACAAGCATGTAGCGCTCTAAACGAGCGCCTAGGCTGTCTGCGCGATAATATGGGCTTTTACAGCACAAACGAGTTGAATGAGCGCGCAGCGGAAGAGCGGAAATCGCTAGGCGCCGGTATGTGGACGCAGCGGCAAGTATGCCGCGAGCCATCTAACCAAGAGTTGAAACAACGGAAGCTTTTACAGAGTAAATGCCAACCGCTGCAGATGGCATACAAGCGCGGACGGGAGCGGCCACAACAGGTGGAACAACAACAGCAAAAAATAAAACAACGAACAGTTGAGCGACAGCAAGCGAAACAGCAGCAGTGTCGGCGAGAACTGAAAGGCCCCTTAGCAGCGCAGCGGAATGTGCTGACATACTGCCACCACCAAAGACAAAAACAACAGCTACAACAACACGATCACAAGCAGCAGCAAGCGCAGTTGCAGCAACAACAACTCGCAGTCAATAATAAAAACCATAATAATCAACCAAAAGAACAACAACAACACCATTCCCCACAACAAAGACAGCAGCAACAACAGAAATTGTTGCTGGCACAAAAGCAGTCACAGCCGGCACAACAACAAAAACAACAGCAGCAGCAGCAGCAACAGCAACAAAAGCAACGGCATCGCTTACGTCGCGGCATACAGACGGTGGCCGCTGCCGCTTACGGCGCCTTCAGCTACATCGGTCACAACTACTATCATCTGCTGGGCAATTCGATTAGTTTCTATGCCGCCTCCAGTGTTATATTGGTGCTTTGCTATTTGACTACAACAACAGCAGCGGCGCACTCGCCCGAAAAGGCGCCATTCGATAAGCATCCCATGTAAGTAGCGTGAAAAGCGGGAGGGGGTTAGAGTGAAGAGGGAGTGAGGTGGGCGGCGCAAGAGTGTGGGCTTGGGAGATAGCAAAGCGTATGATGTAATGCTGAGCGGTTGAGTTCACACCCACATACGCACAGGGATATTGAAGTTTACGCATACGCACACATACATACATATACACATACACATGGATATTGACGTTATACGCACACATAAGCACACACTTATGAAGCAAGGCACCACGAGACACAATTTTACAGTTCTTTTAATAATATTTAATATATTCACAATTGTAATTCCATTTTAACTACTTTCTAACGCCTAAATGTGCACTACATACGTCACTCTCAATTCCTTCCACAGACATTTCGTAAGCGGCACAACTTGATTTTACTGTTATTTATTAGTTTTTAGGTACAATTTCATGTTTTTATTTTTTATTTAATTAATTATAAATATTTTATAATTTTTTTTTATGATTAATTTTTTTTTAATAATTATTATGTTTTTTTTACTTTTATTTTATTTTCTTTTAATTCTGGAAACTCTTTTGTAACTTAATGAATTTGCCCTTAAGTATACGCTTTTTACTTAGCCTATAACTATTACCAAAATAAATATATATTTGCGTAGTTTTATAATTAAAATTATTTTAACTGAATATTTCTACAAGTTTTGGTTTTATGTATTTTTTCTTTTGATTTTTTCTTTCTTGCAGTCAAAGCATCGATTGGTCAAAGTAAGTGCGCTATTCCAAAAGCAAAAACAATCAGAAAGTTAGAATTACGCTTAATGTTTTAAGAAAGAACAAATTAATTAAATTAACATAACAACAAATTAATGCTTCAAAATTTTTAGCAAAATTGCGCATTTAACGCCAAATTCAATAACTGAATATAAAAAATTATTTAGTTCACAATTTTAAACCAACGCGACGCTTACAAGCCTACTAAACAAAAATATACCTTTTGTTATAAAAACGTTTAGTTTTGATTCATTTTGGTTAGCGCCTAAATGTAGACTTCATTATATTTACCTTTGTGTTTGTAAACTAACGCCTACATGTAGACTACATTGTCTCCAAAAGTTTTATATAAATTAACGCCTAATTGTAGACTTCATTGTCTGCAAAACTTTTACATAAATTTGCATGTCAAATGTTAGTGTTTATTTTACGGTGTTATGTTAGCTTTTGTTATTAAAAAAAAACAGTTATTTCAAAGCTTAAATAACATATGCAAAACAATATTTGATTTTGCTATATAAAATCCAAAATATACTTTAATCATATATATATACTAAGTAGAGCGAAATTCCATATACATACATACCGGTTAAAGCTTAGAACGGAATTTTGCTAATTGTTTAATAAATATATAGTTTTATGATTAACAGTTTAGAGATATGAATATAGGTGCCGGCTAACTCCGCCCAACAATCTATACTTTTAGACAATATATTTCTTCGATAACTAAGTGTTGTCATTATTGGGCAGAACAGTCATGAATTAATGGAGAGATCGCTCTACGAATAAAAAATTTCTCCCCATGCGCTTTCTTTTCCAAACTCAAATTTATATTGGAAAAATATAACACTGAAATGAAGATAACATTCTCAAATATATGTATTGAAGATTCATCACATCGAAACGATATCGAAGTGTTGCAGTAGCATTGCAATTTAGTTGGACCCAAAAATGTTTCAGCACTTGTTGTACATACTTCTGGCAATTTTATAAACAGCATTAACATCAATTTGCATTAAGGCTAGAATTTCAAAAGGAAACTTGAGTTTTTATAGTAAAGTTTTTAAAGGAAGGAAACCTGTGTGTGGCAGACTTGTAAACAATAATACGGAATGGTTCGATTAAAGTATAGTATATTTGTTGCCTGTTTGTGTTTTAGCCTTTGAGCTTAACGCCTATATGGCAACTTCAATGCAATATTGCAACATTTTCATTTCAAATTCAATTTCTATGCTATCTGGAATCACATTCACTTTTCTGAAAAAATACACAATATTCTAGTCCCTTAACATCAACCCTAATTGAATGCAGCACCTAACCTGCAAAAAGCAGTTTATATTCAGCAACAACAATTTCTAAGTCGTTTAAGCTCCTACCTTCAGCAGAAAATAATAGAATAAACATTTGATGTTTTGCAAATATATTACAAAGGTCTCCAGATGTCCATTATGGATAAGAATGGTGTACATTTTAATTTTGTCAAAGCTTTTTAAAATTTAGTCCATTTCGCAGGCGCTTTCAATGTCTTAGACTTTCTATAAAAAGCCAACTTATATGTAAATAAATTGTATATGCCTTTTTATACATAAATTTTTGGCGTTCGTTTCATCGTTACATTACGTTCGTTATATACGAAGTTTTAGCTTTCCAGTGTTCTTCTTGAGTTCTACAAACTTTGCAATCCAAAGTATGTAATGTACTTAGCTAATTGTAAACATAAATATATAAACTACAGCTAAATTTCTTGTAACTTAAAATCCAAACACAAACAAAAACAAACAAACGCTCGTATAATTTTAATTGGACGCAGTTCTCATCGTTTCAATGGATGTGGGCGACGTACTTGCGCGCTTAAGTAAGTAGCTGTAGACAATCATAGAATACAATAGCAGCTTTGCAAAACGCTTTTCGATAATAAAAAGTCTGCAATTAAAATTATATATATATTTTTTGCTAAATTTTTTTCACCGCATCACTTTCAAATTATGGCATTCGTTTTTTGTGTTGAAGAATAATTTGAAAGGGTTTTAGAATTTACTAGATAACTATTTCATAATGAAAATTAAATCTAGGTATCCAAGCATAGTTTTCAAAATAAATTATAAATATTTGGTTGAAGATATCAATTGTCTCTTTATATATGCTTTACGAAATATTATAATACTATTAACTGCAAAGATTGATAATTCTCGTCTATGTACACTTTTTATTTGTATTTCCTGTCTTCTCATAAGAAAAAAGTCTTAGTTCGGGAACCAAAATAAATTAAGGCAGCCTCTCAGTGAAATTTTATCGACTAAGACATCTTAAAACATAAATTTGAATCAGTATGCTAAAGACTAATTTAAACTAGATTCTCGAGTGGGTGATGAATGACTTTGGATTAAAACACAGCTGGCTGGTCGCCGTTGAAAAATATCTTTGTAACGCAATTATAAGACTTGTTTTTGGTTTGAAGGATAAATTTAATGAAAATTTAGTCATGTTAATAGAAAGTTAGTTCTAACAGAAAAATAAATGCTATGGACTTATTTTACTATCCTGCGCTCTGCAAGTGCTGGGCAGTTATATTCGCCTAACTTAAACGAATTTTGAATTGAAACTGATGGGTGAAAATTTCACTAAACTTCATTAGTCAGTTTTTCATCAGTTTCAACAGCATTTGTTTCGCCCGAGAAAAAATTTAGTTGTCAGAGCTTTAAAAACATCATGAGTGTGAAAGTTTTACAACAAGATGTCGCTGTAACCACTACCAATATGATAATTCAATTATATGCCTATTTAGTTATAAGCAAAACCTTTGATTTGTATATAATTTTGTTTTGGAAGAAGAAAAGAATACGCCTTAGAAGAAAATATCAAAGTATAAATGATTGGTCATATAGAAGCTTTCACTCGACAAAGCTTAGATAAAAGCTTCACCAAATTATAGCCTACTTGTAGGAGTCAAACCATTTCAGACAACTTCGATTTCTTAAAAGTAACCGAAATCAACAATGTCATAACCCAAACCTACGCTCATATATGTGTGTATATATTTTTTTCCTTGAAAAATTGAGGAATATTCGCTTAGAAAACAATATAAAACGTCAGAATGTTTTTGATCTTTTAAATGTTTTTACTTAACAAAGTTTATGAAAAAGCCCTAAAAAAGTATAGCCTAGTTAAAGGAGTCAAACAAATAAGACAATTTCAATATCTTAAAAGTAACGTAAACCTATACCATCATTACCCAAACCTAGACTTTTTATATATCTATATGTATACATATATATAGATATATATATATACCTATATATATTTTTTTGAAGAATAGAGAAATACTCCATTAGCAGAAAATATGAAAGCTCCACGTGATTTTTGGTCATAGAAAAGCTTTTCCTCAACAAACTTTAGAAAAAAACTCCAACAAATCATAGCTTAGTTGTATGAGACAAACATTTTGAACAAATTCGTTCGCTGAGAAGAAAGGATATTTAGTGCAGAGAGTAAATTTCACATTCACATATCTGCATTCGTATTATAGTCTACGCAAAGCACATACATTTCGCCTAAATAAATATATACAAATTGATTTTCGTGAAAATTTCACTGGGCACTGAGGCTTAAGCGCTATGCAAGATCTCGAACAGAAAACCCATAGTGAAGAAGTAGTAAAACAATAAATCCCGCAGCTGAAAATCAATGCATTTCCCCAAGCTACATTATTCAGAGTACAACCACTACTTGCATTGCACTCACTTTCACACACAATAAAATCATTTAAACGCACGTCACGCATTTAATTAATTAAGCGCAACCTCAGCAGCGCAGTCGCAAGCTTTTTTCGTTAACAAAAACAACCACAAGTCTAAAGGCAGTACACGTTAAAGAAAGTTCTCAATTCAACTAACAAAACTGCAGACGACCCTAAAAGTAGACTATAGTAATGAAAAGTTTTGCTGAAATGATTTTTAAAAGCGTTTTTTTATCTATTTAATTTTGAGTATACAATATTTTAATGAAATGTAATGCTGACACACACAAATGCACGCCACAGTTGAGCCATAGCGAACCCGCGCTACTTAATATACCGAACTACTTAAGGGTTTTGTATGCGTGAGGCACATACCGTAGCATTTTACTAGCTCAGCTAAAATAAAATTTCATATTTACATTTGCACACATCAAAGCCACATTATATGCGCTGTATTTGTAGCTCACTATTAAACTCACATATACATACATACATATATACATAGAATACATAGCAGCAGTACCTTCTTTGCTTTACTTGCCTCTTTTATATAAAGGAATTTCCACATTTTAGGTTATAAAATTTTAACATTTTTTCAGTGCAACCATTACCTTGAAATTACAGTTATACCGTTTATTTTTTTTTTCGTTTCAAATTTTGCTCTTTCTTCGCTTCCACTCTCTTTCAACTCTTTTATTCACAGATTCGACGAGTCCAGCTCGGATAAGGAAATTTTGGACTTGTTGCTGGAAAAGAAACGTTACGATAAACGTCTACTGCCGCCAGTTAACGGTGAGTCCTGCGCAGATATTTGAATTTTACAAGCATATGCAAGTGGTTGTGTGTGTATGTCTGCGTATTTGAATGTCTGTTACTTTGCAGTGCCCGTTTACTCAGCTGGAAAATTGTGCAAACATCATTTTTAGTGCGATATATATGTATGTGTGTGTGTGTGTGAAGTTCCTTTTTAAATTTTTTTCATGTGTGTGTGTGCAAAATCCACAAAAGTGTCTAAAGGCGGATGTGTATGAGAGCCCACTTGTGGGTAACTTGTTGGTTTTGTTGCCACAACCGCAACACATGTGGAAAAATGCGCAACTGTGCAGCACAAATGACCATTGGCGAGCAGTGGTATGGCAAAAATGAAGAATCAAGTTGGGAATTACAGAAAAAAGTAAAAAAAAATCTAAAAATATTTCCAAAAAAAAACAAACAGCAACGTCGGTATCTGTCAGCTGAAATTGAAGCAAATTTTCGCAGGACGTCAGTGATATGGAAAAATATGTGATATCAGCAAAAAAAGGTAGAACTGCAGTTTGTCAGCATTTTTATTCTTAGGTTATGTTTGGGTTAGTTATAAATATCAGCTTGCCTTGTTAGGTGAGTTGATTGAGAATAATTGTTTCAAAAAAATTTGTGATATCAAACAGTCAGTTTGTAATATGTGTATGTACCTATATATATATGTAATAAGGTCTAAGGTGACTAATAGGTAAGCATTCAAACCTCGAAAATATCACAAATGATCAAAAATCCTTTTTGGAACTTAAGAATCCAATATATATGCGAGTAATGAAAAAAATGCAAGGAAGTCCTCTATTCATAGCTTTCTTAATTATCATAACATAATAACAAGGCTGCAGGGCATTCATGGTCACGACAGTAGGGTATACATAACTGGAACGTATCCGGATTTTTATACGGCAAAGCAATATCAACACGACAACGTTAATCAAATTCTGTAGCTCAGAAACTATAATACGCTTCACAGCTGCATTTTTATAGCATAAAAGCGTAAAAAAAATGTATATTGATTATGATTGACCAGTTTATATGGCAGCAAAGTTTTCCAAACAAGTACTTGATTTCGATTGTTCAGTTGAGCTGGCAGGCGCTTCATCAAATGAGCGGCTTCTTCGAGGAAAAAAGACATGTGCAAATTTCAGATCAATATCTCAAAAACTGAGGGACAGACAGACGGTTATTGAAAAAGATTTCCTTTAAAAGGAAGCACCTTTACACACGTTTACTTCTGTGCAGGCTGCTTCAAATTTATAAACATAAAGCAATTCAAAATAATAACTAAACCGAAAATAAATATGTTGAGTCAATATTTATACGCTTTTAAATTTTACAGATGAGGATTTTTGCTGTGGTTTATCTTCACCGGATATGGCCAAAGTTAGCAACTCAAGGAGGCCACATAACCGCGGTTTGTTCCACCGAATTTCACAAAAATATTTTCAAAAAAGCACATTTAGAACTTTTTCAAGCACTTAACTCTTGTGTTGTTGTATTGAAAAGCGCATCGGTTGGATATTTTGTGTTTTTTTAGATTGGCGATTACATGCTGGTTTTACTATTATTTCAGTTATTAGAGGTTATGCTACGTTGACTTATATGATTTGCTGTAACTATGATTAAAATATACAAAAGATTTATGGATTTTCTTTTCAATAGAAATGCAAAATTTTTAACAACTATTTTATTTTGAGCTATAAATTAAAATTTTTGCATACAATTTTTAATATAATACGTTACTTAAAACTAAAAATAATTCCAACACAGGTACTTTAACGGTGAATGTGAATGTGTTGCTGCTCAGCTTGGCCTCACCCGATGAGAGTAGTTTGGTAAGTTTTCGAAGTTTAAATCCAAAAAATTTGTGTTGCAAATTGTGATAAAAATGTAGAAACAGTAGTATATTACCAATCCAACGCCTCTTTCACCACCCACAGAAATACGAAGTCGAATTCTTGCTAAATCAACAGTGGAACGATCCGCGTCTACAATATGGCAACAAATCGCATTATGACTTTTTGAATGCATTACATCATCACGACAGCATCTGGACACCGGACACCTATTTCATTATGCACGGCGACTTTAAGGATCCCATTATACCAATGCATTTCGCTTTAAGAATCTACCGTAACGGGACCATTACGTACGCAATGAGGTGTGTATGGGCGGTATGTGCGTTAAGTACAAAAATAAAACTTAAACTTACTACGCATTAAATATCGCTCTTTAATACGAAACAAAATAAATTCGAAATATTTCTAGAGTGACATTTTCTCGCTCCGAATGGCGCCTGAATGGCGTCATGAAACGCGCAACAAAATGTTTAAAAAATGCAAATTTCTACACTGCAAGTTTGACTAGGAAAAAAAAATATTATAAAATAAAAACGCATAAAAAAAAAGAAAAAAATATATAAAATATGAAAATAATACCTTGTAGCTTGCGCCATTTCATTAGTATGCGCAGTGGGCAAGTGCATGCGCTACGCTTTGCGCTCACTATGCCACTGGCGCAGCATTGACTCGTCTATTGTTTGCAGCTCGACATTTTTTAGTCACGCATCAGAAAATTTTGAATAAATAATTTCTTTGCGTTTATACATACACCTATATATGTATAGAAATGCAAATGTTGACATTAGTTACAGCTGTCCACTATGGCGTACCTCAACGTTTGTTGTCGTAACATGATGTTGCAAGTTTACGTATTTATAAGTAAGTATGCTTTATAAACGACACGCAGGTTGGGAAACTTTTAGAAGAAAAGTGAATAATTTTCGGAATTTTTTTTAGGAGCGAAATGCTTGTATATATGACTAGGAAAAGTATAAATTCATAAGTTATAAATATTTTTCACAGAATGTTATGGTTTTTCTAAAATATCGTGGGGTAAAAATTTTTTAAATATCTGCTTAACTGAAAAAACGGGTATACACCTGAATGCATACGCTTATAATTGGGCCTAAGTATGTTGTTGTTCGCGAAAAAGTTTTTCTTAAAAGCTTTAAGCTTACTTCCAAATAGCTTGGCTTTACGAATTTTCTTCGGTCGGGCCTTAAAATAAGCAAAAACTAAGCTTAATGTTATGCAGCATTTTTTCTCTCAGAAATAACAGAATTTTTGAATTAGAGCACAAATCGATAATATGTTTTATAAACATATTTGAAAGGCACCATGTCGTATGAGTAACATTTTACCATGAGTGATCACCATTGCAAAACTTAGTAGTAGACCAGAGTAGATAATTTTTTAAAACAAAAATAAAGCATCGGAGACGAAAGAAAAAAAATGAAGGGAAAAATAATTTACATGCGAACTAAGATCGAGAAAAGGATGGGGAGGGGTGTGGTCGAATTTTTGAAGGTTAAAAATGGTTTATCTCGATTACCAGCAAAAATACGATTCTTTTAGAAAAAAGTTATATGGCAATCTTGTAGAAAAAAATTCAAATAACCAAGTTGTTAGGTTTTTTATTTTTAACTTGTACAAAAAATCAATTTCCTTCACGAATTTTGGTGTAAACTTACTTTTTTATGTGCCAAACAGACTGTATTTTTTTTTTGTTTAAAATATTTATTTTTATCCCTATATGGACCAATCGAAAAAAACGCTAATTTTAGATCAAAAAATCTCAAGTCAAAATTTCTTTTGCGCAGAAAACGCAAAAAAAAGAAACACTAAACAGCTAAAAGAACTATTTAATCATGCTTTTTTGCTACTACGAAATAATAGTTAGATGAAATAAAAATAAAATTTTTGAAATATGAAAAAAGGATCAATTTTTTTTTTTATCAGAAAAATCTAGCATTAAATTGATATATAATATTTCGAGATTGAAAAAAATACTAAGTTAAGCAGTTTTTTGTTGAAGCAAAATTTAAACAGCAAAAATATAAATATTAAATATATCACCGCATAAATTTACAACACACATTTTATGCATTTACAGACGTCACTTAATCTTATCCTGCCAAGGTAGCTTACACATATTCCCGTTCGATGATCCGAAGTGCTCCTTCTCCATGGAAAGCAGTAAGTAAATATTATTAAATATGCGAAAATAAGCACGCCTATAAAATATAATGAATACTAAAGCGGCAAACAAGCGCAACACAAATTGCACAAATAAACGTTACACATAATAATGAAAACCAATAAAAACATTAACGCGCTCGTCAATGCAATTTTTCATATTTACCACAACAACACACACGCACATGTCAATATTACTTTTTAATGCAAACGGTTGGTGCGTTCAGGTAAAAGCAAGGTATTGTTTGATATTAATTAAAATTAGCGCAGCAATAAATAGTAAATTGCCAGCTTTTGTGTAAAAAGCAAAAACAAAAAAAAAAAATAGTTGGAAGAAATGGAAAATGGAAAAATAAGCGCAAATAAAGTGTTGGATCAATTGAAAGCAGCATTTAAATGGTGAACTGTGAATGGCAATATAATTCATTTTCACATTTATGCGCTTCCGACAGCGCGCCACGTCAGCTGCGCCCGCACACACCACCTACTTCGCCATCACTCAGCTGAACTCTTATTGTGTGCTGCAGCTTAATAACTACTTTGGCTGAGGGCTGATGAGGCAACAGGCGAATTGCTTTTGTTTGCGCGCGTTGCCAGCAGCAAATATTTTTGTCTGTCGCTTTGTTTTTGTTAGGGCCTATGGGCGAGCGACCGACACGGATAATAATGCCTGATGTTTGTTCGCCTTCTTTCGCATTTTCTTACTTTTATTTACCGGTTCTGCATTCTGCAGTCGCATCCATTGTTTCGCCGTTCCCATTCAACTGTGTGGGCGCTGGTTCCGTTGCCTCGGCGTAGGCGCTTATTAATGAATTGTGTTCGTTTATTCGTGATGGTTTTGTAGTTTCCTTTCTTAATGTTAAGCTAAGAGACATTTAATGATTTGTAGTTACTCATACATAATTAAAAATATGTAGGTTTTAAAAAAAGTCTAAATCGTGCTGAGTCAATGTCGTTATCCTGTTGTTTTCTTATAATTGGAAATGCCTTTAGTGCTTAAGAAAATACACCAACGTGCAGCTGCAGAAAAGGAAATTCGCGGCATATTTTTGTTCCAGTTAATTTTCATTGCCTAAAGATCTAACCTTCCACCTCACTGTTTTTCTTGTCCAGAAGTTTATAAACGTTTGGTCTCAGTATATAAAATATGCTCATTTTTCATATAAAAATAAAAAAAAACTTCGATTGTTATAATACCCTTCACAGGTGCATATTTATAGTATAAAAATATATTTTTCTTAATTTTGATCGGTCAGTTTGTATGGCAGCTATATGCTATAGTGGCCCGATATCGACGATTTCAACGACGTGCAGCTTCTTGGCGAGAAAAAGACGTGTGCAAAATTTGAAATCTATATCTCAAAAACTGAGGGCCTTACGTATGTGCAGCCAGAGGTACAGACAGAAGAATGATTAAATCGACTCAACTCATCACGCTGATCATTTATGTATATACTTTATAGAGTCATCAAGGTTTCCGTCTGGAAAATTTAGAGTATTTTAAATTCAGGGTACACGGGGTAAGGGTTGCTTTAGAAAATTGTGTTTGGCAAGTTTTATGTCAACTGGCAGTTAGTAGGAAGAAACCTTGTTGTGTTACTTGGAGAGTGCTACTAATACAATACTTCTCGATTCACACAGGCTACCCTTTGTCGAATCAAATCCGGTAACATAGAAACTGCTGTCGTGAGAATCGAACTTACTAATTGTGTACACTTTCTTATTATTTTCAAAGAATTTCAGTGGCATTTTCAATCTCGAAATTATTGTACTAGGCATGGCAGAGAAAAATTAGTGCTCAAATATGTATCTTCAGATCCTATTCCTATTCGAAAAAGATATATTTATATTGTACTTGAAGCCAGCTAATAATGTATTATAAAATAATTATATATTTTTTTGCCACCAGCAATTTACTATCACTTTCTCTACTTCACAGTTTCCTATGAGGAGGCGCAAATCAAGTATGTTTGGAAAAATGACGAAGACACGCTGCGTAAGAGTCCTTCACTAACCACATTAAATGCGTATTTAATAAAAAATCAAACAACACCCTGCGACCAAAATAGTTGGCGAGGTGAGTGAGTCGAGACTAATTATAAAAACCAATATATATGTATGTGTATAACATACATTAATTTTTGTTAAAAGAAAAAGTAGTTGCTGGAAAATGTATACGGCGTTGAAAATAGTTTTTTTTTATAGTGGTGTCTTATTATTTCTTTGTTTTTGTCTGTCATAAATATATACAAATATTGGAATTATGCGTTTGAGTGTCCGTTTTGTGTATTAATAATATTTAGTTTTATTATTATTATTTTTTTTTTATTATTATAACATAGTTATTAGATTATTTTAAACTTATAGCCAAGAACCGAATATTAGTCAAAAATAAATATTATTTAGAAAGCACCTCATCTTTTTGAGAATTTTTGAGATTTGAAGTTAAGCCACCAATGAAAATTAAACTATCGATTGATATAACAAAATTTAAAAAAACTAATTACAGGCCAAAGTGCATGGAACATAAATGTCAAACGCAAGTATCTACGCTGACAGATTTTTTGACCTATCATTTGATTGGCTTTCTTATAGGAAAATCTAAAACAAAGTGGAAAAAAGACGAAAGAAAACTTCCGAACTATTTTTAATCTTACAGGTGGCTGTAGTCTTATGAGACGTCACAAAACTTTCTTTTAACTTTATTATAATTCGAAGTTATTGTTCTTTAGTAGCATCGTGTTGCTCATTGTGGTTGAAGGTTAGTTTGGCAAAAGCTGTATAGTGGAGAAGAAAATGTCTAGACGATTCCACCTCGCTCTCTGTCATACAGCTTTGATTTGCGTCTAACAAAACAGGCAGAACATCTACCGTGCGGGAGTTCTTGCGTTCCACTTTGGGTTTTGACCAACGCTTTCTAAGCTCAGAGGAAGTCCATAGATCCAACACTGGAGCGCATGTGCCGACTCGTTGGCTCTCTGGCGAAATTGGGGCAAGGGTACCCTCCTATTAATGGCTCCTCTACTAATGCTGGCGATTCCGCCGCGTACATCATCGACATCATAATTTGCAGTCGGCTAGTTTCTACCGACTCTCACTAGCTTAACATCCCCTGCTGGTACTAGCCGCGTTTTTCAACGGGTTTTTTTACTGCCTTTGACGCGGGGCATACCTCAACCACCAACCCAAAGTTCACCAAATCCAAAAAATTACTCCTAAACAAAGGCGGAAACAAATCCGTGTATACATATCGAGCGTAAAGGTCAAAGGACAATTAGCATTGAATGCATTTTGTAGACAATAGATAAAATTCATAAAATTTTCATACAGTAGGTGTTTTATATAATAAATTCTTTACTTTATTTTTTTAATAAAAATATTTTTAAACTTATCGCAGCATTTTGAAGTCTTATTTTCTTTTTTTTTTTAGCATATTGTCTAGCGTATTTGATTTTTTTTTTTTCTTCAATTTTCCAAATCGCCTTTGTTACTACATTTCATGTTTTCTATATATTATGTGTTTGTAATTGCCGATTTGATTTGTTACATAGTGCTATCATATGCATATACTCTTATTTAGTTATACTATACCATATTGCTAGTTAAAAATGCCTGCGTAACTTGAAGTTAGTAGAAAATTTGCTTGCAATATATATATGAAAAGACAAATAGTCTTGCCCGTTAGTATACTATAATCTCTATTTAACAAGCGTAAACACTATATTAATAAAATCCACTATCCATATAAATATATATGAATGCCAACAACCAACCAACCAATCAAACAACCAAACAACAACGTAGGGAACTACAGCTGTCTTAGGGTCGATTTAATATTTACCAGAGATCGTGCATTCTATTTCACCACCGTTTTTATACCCGGCATTATACTGGTGACGTCATCATTTATAACATTCTGGCTAGAATGGAATGCAGTTCCGGCTAGATCGATGATAGGTAAAAATATAATATTAATAACCACAAACAATCAACAACAAAATTGCCAACAACCAATCACAACTTACTAAGCAGAAACAAAACTACAAACAACCTTAAAATATCCCATAATTCGCAACCAATTCATAGAAAAATGCAAATAAATAAAACGATATTTTTTTTTATTAGATATGCAACTACAAAACATTTGTTTATTTTTTGTATGGAAATTTTAAACAAATTTTATTTGTATGTAGTATGCCAGCTAACTTTGACATTTGTATGTATATGCAAAATTTGTTTGCTATAATTTTGAATGCTCGAACTGGTTATTTGCTATACATGCTCACCCTTAATTTCAACACAGAACAATTCACCAATGGTTAGTGCTATGTCAGTACAATATGAATAATCGTTTTGATTACATATTGTAGTTTGCGTATTTTATTTTACGATTTAATTGAATTTTCATTATAGTAATTTCATAATTATTGTAATATTTTGAAAAAGTAATTTTCTTAAACTTATTGTTGCGCAATTCATTTAGCAAATACTCCAAACCAATTTATTTGAAAAAAGTAAATATATTAAATTAAAAAACAAAAATATCACCGTCTCCCGAACACAACCAAAAATATCCCTGCCTGCTCTACAAACGCTCGTTAGCCATATCTGCATTCTAGCGCTCGCCCAATACCGTTTTTACCTAGAAATGCCTTTTTATTAAGCCTTTGATAATTCATATAAAATTTATTGCAATACATTGCCACTTTTTTTTATTCATTTCTCGCGTGATTTGAAGTAAATGTTGCAACAGATACTTAATTTGCTTGGCAGCATTTAATTATTCACATATATGTAATTTATATACGCTCTTGCTGCTGAGAAAGTAAAATACTTATTTATTGCCATTATGCAACATTTTTATTGAATACATATTTTTCCGCCAGCCTTTTTTAAATTTTCGTAAAAATATTTATTAGTCAAAATGAAATTGTATTTACATAGTGCCTTGCTATTATATTTAGCATTCTCATTTTCACACCAAGTAAAAACGAAAACAATAAAAATATTTGCGTTTTACTGCATGCAAAAAAATCTGTAATTAGAGTAGAAAACACAAAATGTTACTTTTAAAAAATTTGCAAACTCCACATACCCAAAAAATTTTAATTATCTTCCAATATCCCGAATGCCAAAAGATGCTGCCATGGATAATTAGGTCAATAAGTATGTCAAAAAAGTTTTCACGGTTGTTTAGGTCAATAAATATGCCAAAAAAAGCTTTCAAGAATGCTTAGGTGAATAAGTATGCCAAAAAAAGCTTTCACGGATTTTTAGGTAAAAAAGTTGTCAAGCAAAGCTTTCACTTATATTTAGGTGAATAAGTATGCAGTTAAAAGCTTCATAGGAAATATGCACGTAGTAAGTAGGTATTTAAAGTGCCACTGACATAAAACTTACCTCTAAGTTATATATAAAATTAGTAGCAGACATAATATATAGTTGGTGATAAATGAGATAGTATAGAAATATTTGATTTATAATATAAATTATCGAAAGCTTTTGCCGGATTAGTAAATAGGTTTTTTTAATGACTTATTTTACATAAAAAATACGCTATGGAATTGTACATTATAAAAGATTATTTCAAATAAAGTAAATAGATTCAGTATTAATGCAATAAACAGTAAAATATCGGCAAATTAAAAGGAGCTTTCACCAATGAGAATAAAGTAAGTTGAGAAAACAAGCTTTCACATAACACGAGCTTTCACCAATGAAAGTTAGCTTAGCTTAAATGCGCAAATAACTTTCGCATTCGACTTCTACTCTTTTATACCATATAATGTCACTTATATGTGTTCGTACAGTTACTTAAGTCACTTGTCTCGTCTGTCGTCGTCTCATACAATATACTATGATATAATGTAAGTGCGTCCATAGTTTGTTCTAAATGTTCTACGTCTATATCACTGATATATAAATATCAAATAGTTTTAGTCAAAAATAAAATAACTATATTTATGTTATGTACGAATCAAGCGAATGCAAGCTACCTAACTGAATAGTTTAAATATAGTAAAATATGAAATAATTTTGCATAAAGCCGAGTTGGCGCATTATCTATTATGTTGTATTGTGTATTTTTTTCCTAAAGGTAATTACAGTTGCCTAGAAGTCGAGTTGACTTTTACCAGAGATCGTGCTTATTATTTCACCACTGTTTTTATACCCGGCATTATATTGGTGACATCATCATTTATCACATTTTGGCTGGAATGGAATGCTGTGCCAGCCAGAGTTATGATCGGTATGTAAAAATCCTAATAAGTTTAGTTAGAAACTCATTAAATAAAAAAGAATATATATTTTTTTTTAAAATGTGTAGGCTGAAAAGTGGCGTATTAATTTGAGGGTAGTGTAAGTGTAAAAAGCTGCGTGCTGACAAATGTAGGTTGATATTTTAGCGCAGTGTCTAAAATTTCGATTATTATCTATATAGTAGATGATTTTAGATTAATATATAGGTATAGTATAGAACTTATCATTAAGGAACTTCAAGTAAGTAGGCAGCATCAGAAAATATAGATAAACAATCTAGTTCAGAAAAATTGTAACTTGACAAAGACCTTTGTGATATTTTTTTGTATATTGGAAATTGTTTTTTTTTTGTTTTTTTTTTTTCTAATTCAGCTGAAGCTCGATAACATATTGTGTATGCATAATATATATAAATGATCCTTAATATTATATTGAAGTCTGGTATTTATAATTGAAAGCATAAATTTTCAATTGCTTAGCATTTACGACCTTCAGGTTTCATTTCTTCCGTTATAAATATAATATTATCTGCAAAAGCTCAAATTAATGGGAAAAGTACAAAAACGCAAAGCTCAGAGATTTTGGTGAAGTAGCTGGCATCTTTTTCGTTTTTGAACGCAAATTTTAGCAAAATATATCTTCAATCCTCTACAAAAAACAAGCAACAGTATATCTCAGCAATTTTTATATATATTATTATACCTACCTGGGTTCTTTTAACGTCAAGGCTTTACTAGTCTTGTGAAAGAATAGTTCTTATGCCACAATGCATCAGAATGGTCAGGTCATTCTAAGCGTTTTATAGATATAAAACAGCTCTATATTCATTATTATGAATTACTCAGCAAACTTTAAATTTAAAGTATCAAAAAGTTGCTTTTCAAAACTTAAAGCTTTCGTCTGGACTGTCAATCCATTTTCTGTGGAACCTTTTTTTATGGTATAAATTTAGCTTTGGACATTCGTAAGTTTTTCCAAAAGAGCTTTGTGCTTTGAGCTTTAAGCTCCAAACCTACGTTTGTTTGTACCAGATTTACTTAAGACATTCTCTCTCCGTCCAGCACTGCCACGTTATATGAACTATATATTGATTATGCAGCAACATTTACATTGAAAATTTTATTTAGTGGCTTGCTTAAAGCTCTCACGCCATCCTAAATGAAGTAGTCGGTCTGCTTTTTTTTTAAATTATTTCTATGTAATAAATTTGGCTTTGAATTCAAAAATGAGTGTTCGAAATTATTTGCTTTTCACTTACAAATATAAAGAGAGCATTCTTAAGCCTTTCTAAAAAAGCTTTGAGCTTTAAGCTCCAAGCCTACGGTTATTTGTATTACCTTTACTAGCACTGGAACGTTATATGAACTATATATTGATTATGCAGCAACATTTAGATTAAAAATTTTATTTAGTGGCTTGCTTAAAGCTCTCGCGGCATCCTAACTAAAGTAGTCGTTCTGCTTTTTTTAAAATTATTTCTATGTAATAAATTTGGCTTTGAATTCAAAAATGAGTGTTCGAAATTATTTGCTTTTCACTTACAAATATAAAGAGAGCATTCGTAAGCCTTTCTAAAAAAGCTTTGAGCTTTAAGCTCCAAGCCTAAGGTTATTTGTATTACCTTTACTGTTAGTCATTGGTACTCTGTCAAGCAATTGAATGTCTTATCAACAAAATTAGTATAATATAGCCATAAAAAAAGGAACGAGTTATATATCTTGGGAGCTTTAGAAAAATATACACATTTTGTAGACAGATTAGGTGACTTTAGAACTATACATATCATGAAATGGTAATAACTTTAGCAATTGATATTTTCCGATCATAAGAAAAAGTATTTTGAATAAATTTTTATATTTTGAATTAAATGAGAAAATTTATTAAAATCTCCAAAATCTTTAGTAAACAACTTGTAATTGATTAATGGGTATTTTCTAAGTATAAATGTAGTTACTAATTCCAAAGGTATGTACGAGTATTTTGAGCTAATCATGTTGAGTATTCAATTGAGTACGTAGTTGTTTAGTTAGTAAAGAAAAATCCACGCCCGTAATTAAAAAATTGGTGAAATCCCCAGTTTAATTTATTGTAGTAATTTTTACTTTCAATATATGACAACAACATAACGGTATATATAAGCACAACCACATATTTTGCATGCATAATTTTCAAGCTTTTAATAAATATTATGCATTTACTCTTATAACTAATCGATATGCGGATATGCTGGAAAAATACACACACATATATATACACGCACACATATCATCTTTTAACTTGTAATATTTAAGCATAAAAACTAGTTTAGTATGTAAATTTATAAAAACAAAAATTTTTAATCACAAAAACTTACATAAAAAAAAAAGTACAAAAAAAATGGAAATTTCAACCACAAACACCACAACAGAAAATACAATTAAAAGTTGAACTTTTTTATATGTTGCTTTATTACCGTTATTACTCACGACAAACCAATAAAAACGTGTGAGAGTGTTTACCACAACAACAACTTTCAACAAAATATGCACCGTGCGCAAATTGGAGCATTAAAGCTCGATATACCGTAAGACTACCGGCGACGAAATTGCACGTGCGTAAGGCTACTGTAAGAGACTTAGTAGTAACACGTTGCAGGCAGCAGCGGCATGTTGCTGATAAAATAGGAGAATATTTTATCACTTTGCCACATTCAAAGTTCGCTCGTTTGTATTTAGCGTAAAACAAAAGTTGCACCAATTTCACAACCACCTGCATACATACACACACACACACATATTCATATGCTTTAAAAGAAATTTTTCGTTTACTGTAAAGCCACGTGACACGTTACAGAAAGTGCGTAAAAGCAAAATCAGCAATCAAGCTGCAAATAACGCGCAAAGTAATCGTTAAACCTCATCTACACGCAGTAAGAGCATTAAAAATGCATTTGCGTCTTGGAGAGAAGAGAAGAAAATAATAGTAGAAGAAAAAGCATTTGTTTGGAGTAGAAGGCAACGCTGAGGTACCGTGAACTATGCCAACAGCATCTCGTGCATGCCTTCCTGCAAGCGTAAATAAATTTCGTCGTTAAGTCGCTAACTAGCTGTCTGTTATTAGTCGCGACAGGTTGCCAAAACTTGTCACTTTGGCGTAAGCAAAAAGAAATTTGTGGAATTTCGAAAAGTTAGAGGTAGAAACGTACAGATTTTATTAAACAATTTATAAGTTTTCTTATTGCAGTTACCAAAACAAATTTAGGAAGATGCTGACTTCTGGTTTGCACTTAGAAACAGTTATTTAGGTGAAAGTCAACTTATAATATTATAATACATTCAGATAGGAACAAAATCAGCTATAGAACTGTTGAAAATATTAGTAATTATTATTCTATTACAAACTCTATATGATAAAGTGTGATATGATGATTCGAAAGGTGATTTGTTATAAGGATGATGTTAAAGGATTCGATTGAATGCATTAAATTGAAGCAGAATATGATATTTATATTGAAATGGTCCCAACATATGTTTTGTATAGGCGTATGATATAAGTAGGATATAGTCTATTAGCTAATAATAATGGCCATTTAAGGCGATGTGATCATATAATATTGATATCATGTGGTTGGTTATATTGTAATATAAAATGATATAATGGCATGTGATGAGTGAAATAAAATGATGTAAAATAATATGAAAGGACATAATGTAAAAGATGTGATATGATATACCTAATGTGGTCTGATGTGATGTCAGGTTCGTTATGATGGAATGTGATATAAAATCATATGATGTTTCAATAACTGATTTGATATGAAAAAATGTGATGATAATACGCTATAATATAAAATTATAGAATGTGATATGAAATGTGAAATCATATATGTGACAATAAATGATTTCATGAGGTATATGATATAATGTGAATGATTTGATGTGATATCATGAGCTATGGAATGTAATATGAAATCATATTATGTTTCAAAAAATAATTTGATGAGATAATTTGATAATGTGATGTTTTGTATTATAATATGAAATTATTGTATGTGATATGAAATCATGTATGTTATATGTGAATAAATTATGAGGTATAACATTATATGATTTGATGTGTAACCGAGGGCTTTGAAAAGATGGAATGAAGTACAAAATCTTAATATGTTTTAAAAACTGTTTTTTTTTTTTTAAAGATAATTTGAAGTGATGGTTTTTTGCTATCAAATTACGTATTCTGATATTTAAAAAAATTATATGAGTTCGCTTGATGTTATGTGATGTGACATTAAACCATTTGCTATAATATGATACGATGTGTTGCCATGTTGTGATAAAAAAAACCCCAATTTCCCAACTCATTTGATAAAATAGAAGATCAAGCGATCTCAAGCAGATGGACATACTGACTGTAAATAATTTGATGGTATTTTTAAATCTCCAGAACTACACAACTTCACTACATCAATAAAATATTTGGTATTCCATCTGATAGTATTTGTTTGAAGCATACAAAATTATGTGCTCTTATATATAAAACGGCAAAAGGTCTCTAATAGTAACAATTTTAAATGATTCGACAGTGCCAATATTCGCAGGGCAGGACGCTCTTACTTTAAAGAAACCAACTCTTAACAACTTTTAAAGCTTCAAGCTAGCAAATCACAGAATTTCTGTAAAAAGAAATGTTAAAAAAAAAAATTTGGAAATCCCTTGCTTATTTACGCTCCCAAATCCTTGAACCCTTAATAAAAGAACAGGCTTAAAAAACGCGTACGTGTTTTGAGTGCACAACACTTAATGTTCACTGCAATTGGCAACTTCCTAACTACTTTTCACCACAACATACACACATGCATTCCTACATGCACGTGTGTTTGTAAGTGCTCTCTCGTACTTTAGAACAATTAAGCACTCGCAAATGAGCTAAAACTTGGTTACAGCGCCTTTTTGCATTTGGCACCAGCAAAGTGAAGCAGAGCTGCCAGTGCAGCTTAATTATCACAAAACGTCACTAGCACTAGCTGGCGCAATCAAGCCGAAATTAAGTTAAATAGCCAAAGCATTATGATCGCAAACAAGATGGAGCTTTTTGTTTAAGAGAAAAAGTGGAAAAGAAAGCCAATTATGTTTACCTCTTATGCTGACACCGCCGTGTGTGTGGCAACATTATGCACTGAAACGTTTTTATTTAGCTTTCGTAAGCTTAAGTGGAAGCTCTAAGCAACTAAGTAGGTGCTCGCTCATTTGTGGTTTAAGTTTTTTCTCTGTATATATAACGGTCCATTTATTACGGAAATAAATTGAGTCAGTACTGGGAATTTAGATTTTTGTCCAATAACAACTATAGACATACATGCACAACCCAAAACTTTGGCACTGAAGCAATAAAAACATGTTATATATTGCTGCATAGCGACACCGCTTTATCCTTGGTAAGGCAACCAGGAAACCAGCAGGATATTCAATTTTTACATACACATAACTGCCGACGACTGACTGTCCTGCTTGATTGCTAATAATTTGTTCTACATTACAGAAGGATAGTGAAATACATTTTGTGAGCACAACCGGTAGAGTTAAATCAATGTGTAACTAGTTTGTGGAGGACTAGTATATTAAACCGAAAACTATGAAATTTTGGGAATAGATTTGTACAGTATTCAGTAAAGAGTTTCTGATAATTAAAAAGTAAAGTTTTAGGATCAAAAACATAGTCTCCTTGTACTCTCTTAGTTTCAGCCATTCGAAGAGCTTTAAGCTTTGTTGGATAACAACAAGAGGTATATTACCAATAGCAGAATCAATTACACACATACTTCAAACTAACTATGAATACAACTTTCATGAAAGCTTTTACCCATTCAGAGAGCTTAAAGCTTTGTAGAACCATACTTTGGTTGGATAACAACAAGAAGTATACTATCAATAGCAGAATAGAGTTCATGCATATGCCACGAATACAAATTTCATAAAAACGTCAGCTATTCAGAGTGCTTAAAGCTTTGTAGAACTCTACCTTTACCGGATAAAATCAAGAGGTCTGCCAAAAACAGCAGATTAAATTACACATATATATACAAGTACTCCAATCTAAACACAAATACAACTTTCACAAAAACTTTCAGCTATTCAGAGTGCTTAAAGCTTTGTAGAACCCTAACGTTGAATTATACTACCAATAGCAAAATTGGATATATCGCAATTATGTATATACTTATATCTTCTTTCGTACAAGAGCTTAGATAGCTCATTCTACATTTTGCCTCTACTTCTCGCGGTATGTATAGAGTAATACTCTAACTATTACGACCAGATATGGCACACGTAACTCTTTATTTGATCTCAGTGTTTTTTTCCCCGGTCAAATATATAAGTATATTGCAGTGCAAGCCCATTTGTGGCTTATGCAAAAAGCAAACCATTTGCGGCCGGAACTTACTTGTAACCATGCAACAGAGCAGCGGTTTAGCACATCCGTTGTCAATAAAAAAATAACGGACATCGTAACTTGCAACATTTTGTAGTAAGTTTATTGATAAATATGAAAAATAATATGTGAGCACTTAGCTCTTGTATACATGCATATATTATATTATAAAGTATACCAGATATACTAAACTAAATGGCAATGAACCGGAAGGATGCTTAGTAAAGGAAGAAAGCAAAGTAAATGATGCGAACTCTTTTATACTGACATTTACAAGGTTTATTTAACTGATTACCTACAGCTAAGTAAATATTTATATGAATGACGGATGTGTATTTTGTAAGCATTTTGTTGTTGTGGAGACTTAATGCTCATTGTCGAGAGATAAGTATTAATGTTGACATAAAATAATACAAATATAAAAGTACAGTTGTTAAATATACATTTTTTATATTTATGTACACTGATATTTTGCCTTAATAATTGTATATAATTTTATGTATGGAATATATGTAAGCTATTGTGCGTAGGCATTGCATAAAAGTAGGGAAGGAATGATGAACGCATATATATATGCCCACCTACATACATACATACAGCGAATTCCTAGTCAAGGCTACTCTAAATTTATGCCATACATGCTTGCCTGTTAGTTTGTATATGTACAGACGAGTTTGGTAGCGAAATATGTACTTAAAGTCATCAGGTTTTGAGATATCAATGTAAAATTTTGCACACGTCCTTATCTCCCAAAGAAGCTGCTCATTTGTCGGATCCGCCGATATCGGATAACTATAGCATATAGCTGCCATACATATTGAACGATCGAAATTAAGCGCTTGTATGAAAAATTTCATCATTTGACGAGGTATCTTCATAAAATTTGGCAGAGCTTATTACCCAAATCATCGCTACAATCTGCGGATATTTGTTGTTTTTTTATACCATTTTATGCTATAAAATATGCACCTGTTAAAGGGTATTATATTTTCGGAACAGACTAAGTTCACGTTTTTTCTGTAAAATTTTAAATTTTAAACCATTCAAAAATACAGTTAATAGTTTCCTAGTACCTTCGCGCTGTACCACTGTGATAAGTGGTAAGCAAATTGAGAATGGCAAGAACAAAACGTATAAAGTAAGAAAGTGAGACAAAATATGCTGAATGCCGTTATACCATATTATGCATTTTAGTAACTAGTTAGGCACTTGTTGTGCGATATACAACTGCCACTGCCACCGCCGGTACTCAAATTGAAGCATAAATATATATTAAGATGCAAACGAGTGAGTGTTAGCTTATTGTAGGAAGCTGCAATGAAAAATGTGCATTAAGTCGTAAATTTAAGAAATTTAGGTAAATTACATGATATGCAAGGCAAGTAGTTAACGACTCTGTAGATAAGAGCAGTGTTGTGAAATATTTTGGGAGATTTCCGAATACTACTGAAGAAAGCAAAATGTTTAGATTGAGGGATTGAATTAAAAAAAAAATTTATTTGTGCAAAAGGTTTGAAATCGGACCACTAAAGCATATAGCTGCCATACAAAATTGCCAAGCAAAAGCAAGTTCTGGTATGGAAAAATTTTTTATTTGACAAGATATCCGCAAAAAATTTCTTATGGATTATTGCCTAAGCTAATGCTGTAATCTCCGAAGAAATTATTCAAATCTGATCACTATAGCATATAACAGTCAAACAAACTGACCTATCAATATCAGTAATAGAGTCAGCAGTTTTGTATAAGGCTATAATATAGATTAGATTAGACAATATATTATATAAGTAAGTCAAAAAACAGTATTTTATTTAAAAGAAAGCAGAAAACTACATTAAAAATAAATTAAACACTTTTTTTAATTTTTTAACAAGCTCATATAGCAACAAAAAATGCACTTAATACAAACGCTGAATGCTTAATACTTATTTATACACACAGATCTTAAATAGCATTTCTTAAATAACTCACCTAACTTGCTGAAATATTAAAAACACACCACTCCTCATCTATATCAGGTATAACGATCTCACAACATTAAATACAAAATAACTAACAACCCATTACCGAAAATATCCACTTCCTACCCTATAAAATATGTATAACTCATATATGTACCTAACTCTATAAATTAATTGACTTTGACTGCTTTATTTCTATTTTTTTTTGTTTTTTGTGTGGTGGACCATCCAAACCTAGGTGTAACAACAATGTTGAATTTCTTTACAACATCCAACGGTTTCCGCAGCACACTGCCCGTCGTCTCCAATCTCACCGCCATGAATGTTTGGGATGGCGTCTGCATGTGCTTCATCTACGCCTCGCTACTGGAGTTTGTATGCGTAAATTATATGGGTCGCAAGCGGCCACAACATAATGCTGTCTATCGACCTGGCGAGAATCCTGTCACACAGGTAATAAAACAACATCTCATACATATACGACACACACACACACCCATACATACACAACCTTACTGTTTGTCTGTCCCATTACTGTCTCACTATCTCTCTAACTCTCTATACATTTAACCATTCATTAAAAGCCACCACGCGCAACAGTACATATATCTATCTCTGTCTATGACACTTGCGCAAAAAGCAAAAACAGGCTGAGAATTAAAACTTTTTCATTATTAACGAAATACATTATTTATGAAATTTTAACAAATGCAGTAAAAACGAATTGTTATGCGAACAATTAAATGGTTTTAGTGTAATAATATATATAAATTTTTTTCAATAAAAGTTATAACAAAATATTAATATATTTTAGTGAGATATTACATGTATTTTTTAAAACCCAATCACAGTCGAAATTCCATACCAAGCAGCGTCCATTCTTTACTCTCCGCTTTAATAACTAATATCATTTTATATTTTATTAATTTTCCTACTATTTTAATTTGACACTTTCTAACACTTAATCTACTACTTTCTTCTAAAACACTTGCTATACTTTTTCCAATTAAACGAAGTAATATTTATTAGCGTATTTAAACTTGGCTACGAACGCCTGTTTCTCTATTAATATGTCTTGAAAAGTATGCCCATATTTCACATACCCGTTGCTTAGTATAAAAACATACAAAAATCATCGACAGTCCATTTTAAAAATATGCGTACGGTATGAGTGACAGCCTTAGTATTTTACTATAGGCTTGTTCTTCAAGCCTTTTGCTTTACAATTTAAAATTATATTTCAATCTTCTTTTTTTTGATTTCAACATATGAAATCATCTTAAAATATTTCAACATTTATATCTAAAACTCTGTCTTTATTTTTTTGACTTCGGCATATTTTTTTAAACTATTTCATCTTTTTTATCTAAAGAAAACGGTACATGCTCTTACGTTTTTTTATTTAAAAAATATTTTTAAAAACATTATAAAAAAATATTTTATAAATGTTGTTAAAAAATGCATTTTAATTTTTTTTAATTTCATTTTAATTTTTTTAAATTTATTTTAAAAATTAAATTTAAAAAAAAATTTAAAAACTTTTAGTTCTACAACTTTTTACAATTTCTTTGTGAAGATTATAAGATTTTGTTTGAACTTATATTTTTTTAAATTTATTTGTTTTCTTAAAATTCCGAATTTTTTTTTTTTTGTAACACTCATGCATTACATTGTATTTCCTAATTTATTCCACACCTTTATTCACTTAAACTCAAAAAATATATATTCCGTCTGTTTATTTGTATGTGTATTTTATGTGATAATGCCAGTCTTGTACGAATTATTAATCAAATGTCATGTTTGCATAACTCCAAAATATTTTGGCCTACAAAATTCCATTGCTATGTGTTTTATAATATTTTTTCTTAATTTTTTTTCTGTTTGCATTTATTATGTTTTAATAAAATTTATTATAAGTTTATATTACAGTTTAACCAAATGTGTGTTTTCGGAAAAACAGAAAATTTGTACTATTGTCCTTAATAAAATTTACATTACTCACCCCTTAGGTAACGCAAAAAAAATATAGTAAACAATTTGGTATCTCAATTTATAAGTTAAAAATTACAAACAATATTTAAAAAAAAAAATTATATAATAAAAAAATAATATAAATAAAATATTTAAAAAAAAAATTAAAAATAATATTCATAAAATATTAAAAAAAAAATTTTTTTGTTAATTTTTATAATTAAATAAAATTAAAAAAAAAGAATTACTAAAATAAAAATAAAAATATATTACAAAATTACTTCCCAAAACAAAAATTTTTTTTTTTACAAGTAACCATGTTTTTTTATATTTTTTCTATCGAAATTTACAAATATACCAGATTTTTTTAAATCCAGCGGTACATAGCCCACCTAAAAACTATTTACTATCCACTGTGTACAGCGTTCCCTCCCAAACAAAAACAAAACTAATAATACCCCAAATTGTAACGTTGCACGGCAGCTCCGTTAGAAAGAATGGAAGTTCAAAGTAAAAACGTGTAAGCCAAAAATATAAGCATTTAAAGTAATTGAAAAATTAAATGACTTATTGAAAATAGCAAATATTATAAGCAGAACTAACATTGTTCCCAATTTTCGTGATTAATCGCAACAAGACATGATCAAACAAATAAACAATTAATCAAGCAAACAATCGACCATTCAGTAACCACAAGCAGAAGCTGCATTTTGCACAGTGTGCTTGCAATGAAAAAACAAACTAAAATTTAAAAAAAATATCTTAAAAAACTAAACAAAAAAACTAAAAAATAAACATAAAAATATTATCCCCATTAAAAATGCTCACAAACTGACTAAAGGTTTGCTTTGCATACAGAAAAAATTTTTTTTTTACCAAATGCCGAAATTTCAATTTTCAATTCAAGCTCAATTCAATTTTTAAACAAAACAAACTTAAAGTGTGTTTTAGTATGAATACTAGAATTATTTTGTGTAAATTTTTCCAGCGTCTTCCAGCGGTTCTAAGCAGGATTGGAGTAATTCTTGCAAGTCCTTTGGTAAGCTATTTCAAAAAAAAAAAAAAAAACACAAAAAAAAATATTTAAAAAATATTCAAAACCTACAACAACAAATTAAAAATTCATGCACCTCACACAAAAAAAAATGATAATGTAACACAACAAAAGATGAACAAATCAACAACAAACTGGCAGCATTAATAAATATTTGTTTTTCAAAAAAGGCACAATAGTTAAAATTTATATTTGAAATACAAGTATTCACAAAAATTTGGTTTATTTTCCAATTTGCATCAGTAAATATTACAAGGCGCCGCAGCTATTGGAATTTTCACAAAAAGTTTGTTGCTTTGTTTTTCCCAACAACAAATTCAAGTTTATGTGTTTTTGGCAAAATCTAAATTCTCTCTTCAAGCGCCACATCCGAAAAACTGCCTGCAACTGCAGCAACATTCATTGCTTTATTATCATGAACAGCAACAGCAATGTCATCTGTAAAATTTGTACATCCCTGTAACACAGCATCATCATAATTATACTCATCATGAGCATCATTATTCTTTTCATCACACTCATCATGCACATAGTCATCAGAGGCCATCATGTCATGTCAACATTAATTTCGTGAACAAAAGTACAGCAGTTCGAGCGTCAATTATCTTAACATCTAATTTCCATAACTCACACACTTTTTTTCTATAATTCATACACTTCTGCTCCATCACTCAGACTATCCATAATTTGCACTCTTTTCCTATATCACTCACACTCTTCATTTCCTCATACACACTGGTATCGATAACACCGCTCAAAATTTTCCAAATTCATAACAATTTTGCCACTTCTCTCCCAAATCCTTTCTCAGTGCAAAAGACTCTCCTATACTCCACAACACTCCACTGAAACGGCATGTGATTTTCGCCACTGATTTCTCAATATTAAAGAAACAAAATTTAAATCTTGTTTTCGTATTAATATACTTCAGTTCGCCGCTGGAAGTTCCAGTATCTTTTTTTCTTTTTATTTCTTTTCCGCTTTTGGTTTCCAACATTTTGAAAAAACACCTCGTAGTTGCACGCTTTCAATGTCAGCTATGCGCTTCTTCTACTTCTGTTCTCAGTTTACATTTTTAGCCTGGCATTGTACATTGTTGCATTTTGTACTATCGATTTTGTGCTTCGGTTTTCGATACTCCGATATTCGTTTAAACAGTTGTTTTATTTGGTTTGATTATGGCAATGTTTGGTTTTAATTTACGAAACTAATTACTTCTGATCATTTAACTGTCTGAATTTTGAAACAATTGTATGTATTTGTCAAATTCGTTCTTTTTTTCTTTTTGTGTCACACATTAAATAATGCATTTTATAGGTTATAAATGAATTAAAAAATATTTATCGATATTTAAATAGTCGCGTCAAATATGGCTTGAGTACAGCGTAATGGTGAAAAAAAACACACTTTAAGGTCACTTATAATTGGGAAAAATGTTATGTATTGAAAAAATTTTAAACAAAAAATAAATAAAATATTGCAAAAAATTGGTGCAGGTGGAGAAAGAGTTGTCTGCGAAACTGCTGAAACAACGCTTTTTAGCTTCCACTGTATTTCTAGCTGCGTATTTTTTTTTCAGTTAAGAATATTTTCAATAATTACTGCTGTGTTATCTTATGATTTGTATTAGCTTTGTTGTGAAGTCCCCTATGAAACTGTGCAATAAAAATAAAAGCGTCGAAATTCTTTAGCTTTTACGTAAGGCGCGTGCACACTCTTTTTATATGACTTACCGATCCAGGTCTTGTATATAAAAAAAAAACAATTCGAATTATCAATTGATTTGCGAATTCCTAACAAGTAAGTGCTTCAGTCCACATTTTTTCAATAACAGTATACCAAAAACAAGTTTAATAATTAAAATTTAATACTTTAATTATTACTGTAAACATTCGCGTTTGATTATTTTCAATTACTTCATAGATCATAAGTTTTTTCGTTAGATATAATATTTTCGTAATATTTTTTTGTCATAATATTTGAATTGTTGAAATTGGCTGCTAATCTTGATTTCATGGCCGGTTTGCATACTTAATTTGCATACTGTGATAACACGCTTTTAAATGTAGTACACGTAGTATGAAAAAATAGTAGTTTTTAAGTAGTGATAGATCGTGGGAGCTGCTTTTAATGTGAAAAATATTAATTATAAGACGATAAAAATGGATTATGTATCAATTAGCAGTTATCGTTTTCGAAGCAAATGTATTGCTGTAAATTTCTATAAAGCATTATTTTCTTAGTCATAAAAATGTATATATACTAATAAGTTAATGGTGAAAATAACGACCCAGAAAAGATATTCATTTGTTTACTCATATGTTTCGCACTCTGTATAATTATTGCGAGTTTGCTGTGTTCTATCAATTCGAAATGGTACGACTCGTTACAAGTCAAATTTTGCTTAAAACCAAAATAGAGGATTGACCTGTGAGTTCCCTGAAAAGTGAGTTCGAAAAAATTGATGTTCTTATGGATCATAACTATGCAATTTACTCGATAAAACTTATATTAAGTCGATAAAATTATGATTTCATATTTAACGATACATTTTTGGTCCAAAATATGGAAGGCTTAAGCATCGATATTTCTTCTAAAATCATTAAGTTCTAAGAAACTTATATAAAATTGACAAATGTATACAAAATAGATAAATTTATGCCAAAGCATCGGTGTGGTAACTTTTCATGGCTTGGGATCTATGGCAGTCAAATTGGTGTGCAATTCTTAACGAATTATTTCCCATATACCGATATATTTTCAACCGTAAATATTGATTGTTCGCATATCGAGTTTTTCTGACGTTATGTTTATTCTAAATTATCCGTTTGGTAACTTTCAATAACTTTTCGGGGCTTTGAAGCTATGGTAGTCGAATGGGTTTGCAATTCTCGGCAATCGCAAATAACTACCAATATATCGATATCTTTTCATACGAAAATAGCGATTAATTATATACCGATTTTTCTTCCAAAATCATTGATTTTGAAGAAACTCTATAAAGTATAAAGTCGATAAATTTGTTAAAAAACATCCATTCACTAACTTTTTAAGGCTTGGGCGGAATGATGGTCAAATGGGTTAACAATTCTTGGCGATCGCGAATAATTTTGAATATATCGATATATTTTCATCTGAAAATATCGATTTTTTGTACACCGATTTTTCCCCAAAAATAATTGAATTCGTAAAAAATCATACAAAGCTGATACATTTTTTTTTTAAATATCCATTGATAACTTTTCAGGGCTTGGGCGCTATGGTAGTCAAAACTATAGCATGTGGTATCAGTTTAACGACAAAAAAGAGTGAATGGTTTGGCAAATCTTTACGAATAACCACTGATTTCGTATATATGTATATCGATATATATTCATCCGAAAATATCGATTGTATTTGTATATCGATGTTTCCCTAAATTCATTGAATTCGAAGAAACTCATATGAAAACGTTAAATTTGTACTAAATACATCTGTTTCATACCTTTTCAGGAATTGGTCACTATGCTTTTCACTAGGGTTGGCAATTCCTTGTGCATAATCAATGATTTCATATACATATATCGACATATTTTCATCAGAAAATAAAGTCGATAAATTTGTACTACAATATTTTTATGGGAACCTTTCGGTGCTTGGACGCTATGGTAAACTTAAAGTAACAGTTTAATCACAAAAAAGATCGAATGAGTTTGTTCTCGCTTTCTCTTATCTCTCACTATCGATTGAGCGCCGTGGTTCCGCTATAAAGCTCATTGTATTAGCAGTCAAAAAATTTAATTGGCAAGAAATTTTTGGAATCATGATAATAAAAATATTTAGTTTGAAATTAATGTTAATAGAAAATATTTTCATATTTGAGTCTCTCCCACGATCTCTGATAGCAGACATCAGTTTGTTGATTTCAAAAAATTTAGTTAACTAATTTTTAGATGTGTGAGTACGTTAATTCTTAATGTAGATATAAATCAGCCGAAATATTTTTATTTATTATTTTTTACAAATATTTAATAAAAATTAACTGATTTTATAGTAAATTTGTCTACATCAAACTCTTTATTATGTTTACTTAGTTTTCTATTAAGAAGCTTGATAGTATTTTTTTAAGTTAAAGAAAACTAAGCTTTATATGAACTTGTGGAACTGACCCTTAATTAATTTGATAAGAAATTTTACCACTAAATCTTATTGTATGCAATTAGTTAATTGACTCAATTAAGGTGATGTCAAATAGCCGTAGTTGAATGAGTTTAACAGAAACAATGCTCAGAAAGAAAAGGTCTTCGTGTCTGGTCTAGGGAGAATATCGGAAATAGTGTCCAAAACATTAGGTATTTAGATGTAGGTACTAAGATATAAATTTTAAAGAAAATATTTTTACCCAAATTGTCCAAAACTGTGAATAATAAAATGAACACAAAAAGCGACAACAATATTTTAGATTTTTGACATTTTTTTTTGTTTTTTTGATATGAATTTAAAAATTTGAGCTTGAAATCTAAATACTGAATTTACAGAATTATATAGAACTAATAAAGAATTATTATAGAATTTAGAATTATATTTACTAATAAATATGAAACAGTTCTGTAAGATAATTGTTTAATGACTTGACCATGTTCAATCTTAAGATTTTAATATTGTTGTTTTTGCTGCTAGCGCAATTAAGAACTTAGCTATACCCAACTGGAAACGAATGTTGACATATTACCTTAACAAAAAAAAGCCATTTATCCTGTGCTTGTCCTGTTTCAATTAGAGCAGATATCCAAATAATAACGAACTATATTTAGCCTGTGTTCAGATGAACCACTAATATTTCTAGCCGCCCTATTTAATGCTTGCTAAATAATTAAAACTCGATAAACGATTACCACCCACCGACCATAACTTAAACCACAGCCCACTCGAAGAGCTTCTTAATCCACCAAAAACTTCTGCTGCCTTACCACAAATTTACACCAACAATATTACCCAGTTTTCAGAGCGTTTTGCAAATTCATGCAGCCACAAAGCCAAAATCGCCGCTTTATTATGTCATTGAACTCAAATTTCGACACACAATCAATTGTATGAAAACCATTCAAATCCAAATCCCAATTGTATATGTACGTGTACCAAGTAATAGTACCAAAATGTAGGGTATAATCGAACGAGAATTTCATGCTGCTTTGTCGTCTGAAAAGGCCACAATGGGTGCGGCCAGCAGCACTACAACCGGCACCAGCATACCCGTCACGCCCACACCGATGCATCCCTACCATACGGACCTATCAACGTCTACCACACAAACACCGTTACCACCATCGCCACCACCCGTGCCAACAACGTCATACGGCATGAGTACCGTTGATGCACCGCGTATACGCTGGGAGGAACAACATGGCGGCATAATTGGTGTGGCAATGCAAAATTTACGTGCGCGTTCCATACGTCGACGTACGCGCTCACCGAGCTCGGCAACATCGGCGACCAGCTCTTACGTGGACACAGAGGCTGGGCGCACTAAAACACCCTCCACCACCATGTCCACTGTCATCGAACCAGTCTACACGGAACCAACTTTTGCTACCGCAGAGGGCGCGAACATGCCGCAACTTGAGACTACAGTAACGGTTGAAGTGGAGTCCACACTGCCAGCTTTAGCCGCGCCGACACAGCAGCGTCGTTCCATTTCAACAAACACGCCGCCGCTGATACTAAGCGGTGGCGGCAGCAAGCAGGCAGAAGATGAAAATGCCTCCAGCATTGCCGAACTTTCGATGGCGAATACGGACGCAGCGACATTACAAATGCCGGGGGAAGATGAAAAGACGTCCGCCACGTTGGATACGCAAGGTGTGGCTGATGCCAGCGGCCATTTACCGGTGAAGCCACCGCGCCGCAAGCAATCGCGTTCCAGTTCGCCGGTACCTTTTTATGAGCAGGTGGCGCAGCCGGAAGCCGCCAATGGTCATGGCTTGGGCGCTATGAATGCCGAAACTGTAAGTGTAACTATAAATATGAATTTCCCATTAACCAAAAACAAAAAGGTCAAGTGTTCTTGCACTTAGCATCGACTTGCGCATGCCAAAAGTTTCTCAAGTACTAACCGAAACGAATTTCCGCGTTAAGACGCTTAATTTGAGCCCTTTAAAGACCCAAGACGAAGAACGTAGGTACATACAACAAAATCTCAGCTCATCAAAAAGTTTGAGCTTTACTTTTATCTCCTTGTTCCTTCACAAATAACCGCCACAAAAGTCGATTTGTATGTGTGTTTGTGGTATAAAAGAAAAGCAACTAAATCCAACTGCGCTTTTGTTGATTTTCATGACGCTCAAGCAGGGATATTAAGTGCTTATCCGCTAAACAAAAGGATATAAACTATGAGAAAGTAAAAAATGTAGAATAGAATTGAGCATAAAATAGCTGTAGAAGATTGGGATATACCAGTACAGGTAAGCTAATGACAAAAGTAGTGACTCATTACAACAATTTAGCTGATTAAAAAGCTCTCAAGTGATTTTATTATTTTTTTATATTTTTTTATATAGACAATAAAGCATTATATAACAAATTAAAGCTCTGCATTAAAAAATATTCTTATTGTAAGCAATAGTAAAAGTTCAAGTGAGAAGTTGACAAGTTGCGATATGAAAGCGTAGGTTTTGAACAAAAAACGAAGTCTCAAGAACTTAAGTGCAGCGCCAAAAATATCAAAAAAGAACAACTAAGTATCAACGCAATTCGAAATGTTGGCCAAATGGCTACCAATGCTTCGTTTGCATATCTCCACCTGTTTACACCAATTTTCGATAACCCGATACAGCATTTCTTCGAGCTCCTCGAGCGTTCGTGGTTAATTGGCGTAAACCTTTGATTTAAGAGAAAATAATCTAGAGGCAATGTGTCTATGTTTAGACGTGAAACATGAGACGGCGCACCGTCTTATTAGAAATAGAGATGTTGTTGGTTACGTAGACCCGGTTACGTAGACCCGACTGTCGTGGGAACGAGAAGAAATAGAAATATAGATCGTTCGCGTCGATTAAGGCCCGATGATGTATTGCGTTTCCGGAAAAATAAATTTGACTCACTTCAAATTAGACCTACTACCTACTAATTGATTTTTGTTGACGCAGCTATTAAGCCATTAATGGGTCTCATCTGAGACGATTTTGACGTAATAACCTTGAACAATTGCCAAGCGTTGTACCAAAATGAAACGTGACATGATGAAATGGCAAACCCCACTGAACACACTGACAACATTTGACACAATTCCGTAAACAAACATGGCCGCCACGAACTTTCAAAATCACGTCATTCCTATTAAAAGACGCTATACTTTTTCTTTCAAAGAAATCCTTTCTAATGCATTTGTAATCTAAAAACGTAGATTTTGATGTCTCAAGCTCTGCGTATATAGAAGCCTTATCGCGGAGCTCAGTTGCAACAAAATTTCTTGTGTTGTAATAAAATGTGTCAAAATGTTTTTTTTTTGTCAGTCCGGGTAAAATTTAATCAGATGTTATTATATGCCATATACCTGAAAGACCCATGCTTAAAAAGATATATCGAACTATTACTTATAAAAATTTAAAATACTTTGTTTACTTTCGTAGACAGTTCTGGATACAAGAGTTTTTTCGAATCTTTAGAGGTAAGCAGCGCTCGATCTCTCCCTTTCTCGACAGTACTCGAAAATAAAAATTATATTATATAATTATGATGGTAGTAAGCAATAAGAAATCTGCTGTGTAGATCTTAGGCCTCTTCTGTTGGACCTACTTCCACCTACGTCCAATTGTCTAAATTTTCGCGTAAACTTTATCAAATCTAGCTGCTTTATAGAATTCGTTTTTGAAGTAAGGGTCCCACTACAGTCAAATACTAAAACATGCAATGAGTTTGAGTAAAAAATTGTATACAGTGTTCTTTGAAGAACATCTACTTAACACTGGATTTTGTCTGTCAAACGGACAGAGAATCATTTGTACGAGGTTGGGAACTTGGCAGATTTAGCCAACATAGGTATGCTTAGGCAGATTTTTTAATTAACTTATGGAGGATAGATGGTTGAATGCATATTTACAGTATTTTTGTATATTAAGCTGAAGTTACAAAAAAAATAAATTATTGCAAGTTTTCAAACTATTTTTTTCTTATAAAATAGAAATGTTTACAAAAACATATTTTTTCGAACATTATTCAACATGTAGAACAATAAATATGTATGTGTTATAAAAAATTTAACAATTCGTAGACTTAGTACTTTAAACTAGAATTTGCAGTTATGTTACCAGCATTGTTTAGTTAGTTTAGTTTTAGAAAATATAATTTCCGGTTAGTTTGTATATTAAAATTATTGGTTTTCCAATTCTGCTTCAAAATATTATTTTTGCAATATAAAAATTTTGTATTTTTATTTTTCACCACTCAACATTTGAAACATAATTATTTCTAAATTTTATACATTTCACTAACAATTTTTCTCTACTTTCATTTGTATACCCAAACTTTTAAGTGCTTCCAGCTTTAGTTAAAAAATAAACACAGTTTCTGCTTCTCAACAATGCATTAGACTTATTAGCTAGCAAGTAAAATGAGACACATTGCCAAAACTTTTGCCAGCCACATACATACAATGTTGCCACATTCACACAAAAATAACAAACTTCATACCACTCCCAACTAGACACCCACTAACATATCAACAATCATCAAGTCATGCGATCACGGCGCCTACACATGCGCTCTCACCTAACTTTGAATTTTTTAAATGCTTTTTGCGCCAAAAATATATACAAAAACTAGTATAATTAAAAAAAAAAATTATTGGTTGCATATTTTGTTCTAAAATTTTAACCAAATCGCGTACTAACGCCTTCCAACTAATCATCACCGCCGCCGCTCAGTTCATACCAACAAATTCGTTAAAGTATTTGTATTTAAAAGCGTACTAAAGAAAACAAATTTGCTTTCATTTAATAATTTCGAATTCGAAACTTCTCTATATTTATGTGCATATGTTTGCCAAACGAATTTTATCTTTCAAATCTCAATGCTAAAAATTGGCAAATAAACAAATTTATAACAAAAATATAAAAGTTATTTGTTTAATTATATACAATATGTATATATATATATATATGTATATATGTATATATGAACTCTCTATTTCTCACTTTCTTAACGCTAACGGCTTACATTAAACGCACAAACAGCCGGTAAGTATATGGAATGGAATTGGAAAGTATTATATCACATTATGTAGTATGCTTGAGATGTAAAAACGCTTATTACGCCTTAAAGTAGACTACAAAATGGCACAGCTCGAAGTATATCGGAAAATATATGTTATATCAAAGATGATGTGTACCAAAATGACAGCGACTTACATTAATGATTACTATAATTCGATAATTATCGATAGGGAAATATTTATATATATCGATAATATAATATTTAATAATGAAATATATTGTTACATCTAAAAGCTTCAGTTACCGATAAGTTTTAATTTATCAAAAATTATCGAAAGAAAATATCGATATCAGCATGATCTTTAGCACAATGTATGGTATAAAGCTCATGTTTAACGAAAAAACGGTCACTTTACTAAGTGGTACAATTATACAGTTCTTTAAACAAAATTATTTTATACCTATCCTTCTTGCTTCTATAATGAATGAAGATGGCCACCGTAGTATACTTTAAGGCGCAAATAACTTTTTAAACAACTTTGTATTTTGTATTATTTTTATTACATAATATTTTAGTAGTTAGGTTAGATTTTCTTTTCTATTATTTTATTTTACACATGCGTTATTTTTTTAGTTACTAATTATGTTGCCTAGAGCTCTGTTCACTTGACCTTTTAATTTTTTTAAATAACCATTCAATTACAGTTTGAATTTTTGAATAATCAATTCCTTTTTTCTCTTAATTTCCTCGTTCGCTGCTCTGTTCTACTTGATTCCTTCGTTTATGCGTTTGTCAATTTTTAACTGATTTTGAATTGAATTAAAAAATTTCCTGCTTTGAATTTTGACATATTTCTGTGAAAATTATTTTGGTATTCGCCCTTTTCGATTGTTTAACTGTTAAATTTAAAAACCAAATCAATAAAATAAATTTGCTCAAATATTTGTCCAAATTCCAAATTTGTAACATAAAAAGTTTTTCAAATTTACCGCCATCTATCAGGGTGAGAAGCGACGCGATGTTCGCGCCCCCAACGAGATCGTCGCCTGTACGACTTGTGGCGGCAGCAGCAGCCCGTGCACGCACTCGGCCAACAACGGATGCGCAACAGAGGTAAAACAAATCATAGCATATAAAAATAATGGTATTGAAAGTTCAAACAAAGATTATGCAAGTTGACAACAAAGCAAAAAAGAAGTTCGAGTTATAAAAGTTGGTTATGCGCTTTAAAATATAAGTTAATTTAGCTGACGCATACACGTCTGCTGCTGTGTTCTTTCTTTTATGCCCTTTCGCATTTTTATACCGTACGTTGTGTGCAGTCTGCTGCAAATTTGTGCGGGAAATTCGAAATTCGATTAGTCCCTTGCGGGTGGCAACGTGCCTCATCGCTTTTGGCACTCAAACATGAAAACGAATTTCGCCATCAAAAAAATGCGCAAATTCGCTGCACAAAAGCGAAAACTTGTGGGGAGCCTGCAAATTTTGGTCACGTTTTTGTCATATGCATAAAATCATGCCCCACTATTCATTTACCGCAGTCTATCTGACCTACAAATGTATATTTACGCGTTCAAAACAGCACGCGTGTCTGATGTGGCAAGTTTCATGGTTGCCATGAGTGATATTGAAATGTATTATATATATGTATATAATACATAAATATAAATCCGCTTAAACTCAGTGACAGATAAACAAAAAAAAGACGCACGAAGTAGAGAATCATGTGTAAGTAGTAAATAACAACACAACAGCAACTTCGCTCTGATTAAGCCAAAACGCAATATATTTTATATAAGATTGAGCAGCTGAACCCAGTACTACCCAAAAGAAAACAAACTAACCACAACGCTTCAGCGCAGTTACTTTTTAAAAACTCTATAATAATATGAACTTATGACTTTTCACAAAAATATAAGCAAATATATTATACCATTCTTCTTTACAGACTTGCTTCGTCCAAGTGCGCAAAAAGGAACCGCCACATCCTATACGTATAGCAAAAACAATCGATGTCATCGCTCGAATTACATTTCCAACCGCCTACGCAATTTTTCTAATATTTTTCTTCGTACACTATAAGGGATTTTCATAAAAATTAGTGCAATGGAAATCATTTAGACAACTTAAAGATAAACTTACATACACACATACAAACACTCTCACATATACATACATAAATGTACACATTCAACAAAATTCACATATTTACACACATAAATCCACAGCGAATTAGCAAATTTAATTAGTAAAATTAATTAGCGAAAAAAGTTCATAGCATTATTGAAAACACAAACAACAAAAAAGTACACACACTTAAATGATATTCTATTATATAAGGCAAGAGGAAATTGTGTGAAGCTATTAAAAATTTATGAAAAAAACATATTGAAATGTATAAAATATGTAATAAAAAATACGAAAAATCGACGCACTGATAAAGAATAATATTACATAAATTTGAATAGAAATATAATTTCATTAATTATTTATGATATATTTAATTTATTAAAGCCAAAAGAACACACCACGTTGGTGGTGAATTAAGAGATTAGAGAGAGGGATTAATTGAAATAAACCAAAGAAGAGGCATAGATTTAAAAGACTAAAAATGAATGTAAATAAAGAAATATGTATTAAATTTATTTTCATTATTTTTTTTATTTACTTATTTATTAGCTATTGCAATACATTATTTACGTTAATTGTTTTTTGAAAACTTTTCCTGCTACATAGCAGATATATTAAGTTAAGAAAAAACATGGTCAAAATGTTACTTCAAGATAGATCACGTTCTAATACCAAAACCTGACCCATCAATAAATGCGAAAATCAGCTAGTCGAAATTTTCAAACAGAAAGATCGCTCACAAATCACATACATATGCAGGCCGAAAGGTCGGATTTCCAATAATTTTCTGATAACAAATTTAATTTAATGTCTTTACAACTACAAATGTCGCTTATTGGAAGCAACAATCTTGCAAAAAAAATTCTCTCCAAAATGAACCGCTGGTACGCTCATTGAGTCGAATCGCCAATGTCCGTTTCGCGCTGTTTAGTCAAAGAGACCGAAAACCATACCATCCTTCAGCTCACTTGTCTGTTTTAATAATGAACGACGTTTTCTTGTGATTTCTTATTCTGGTAATAGTATAGCGTCATCAATTTTCACTAAATAAAGGTCTTTAAAAAACAATAATGGAGCATATATACTTGAATAACCAAAAATAATGCTGGTAAAAACTTTGCACTTCGCAGTAACTTTTTTCACGTCATTCTAGTACTTTTTACAAATATTCTGAATGACTTTCAAACCCAAGCCCTACAAACTTTTGTTCTTTTATATGGTATTAAGAATAATTTCAACTTATAACAGTAGAAATTAATAAAATTTTTGGGAGAATAATGAGGTATGAGGGAATATATGCCTGATATGATAGTAGAACGATGTCTGACATGAAAAAGCTGACTGAAGTTAAAAGTCAGAAAATATATGATTACTTAAAATTCTCGATAACAATAGCTGTCTTCGATTCGACATTACTCAGCTCGCTTTTGCTCTCTTGTCAAAAAAATTACATGTAAAAGCAGAAACAACGTTAGCGTGGTGAATTCGTACAAGAGAGTAAGCGGATACATAATTGATGTAGTGTAGCCGCTATCTTCAGTGCTGCCAAGTTTTGTTTTGCATATTTTAGATCAGTTGTATTAATGTGAAAGGTGCAAATGAAAATATGGTTTAATGGAAATACAAATTTCTTTTTTTTTCTTGTATTTTTAAAACTTAAGAATAAAATCAATTATAATAATTTATAGAAAACAAAAATGAAGGATTACAGCAACGTTTTTACCGCCAAAGAAAAACATTTTTACACTGAGTAAGCATTGCGCATGCGTCAGACGACATTTTCTTTGGAGAGTAACGCTTGGCGAATCGAAGACAGCTAATCTTTTCTTAAAATGTTCAAGTATGCCCCTTTTAATTTCATTTGAAGTAATTTTATTTATTTAATAACTAAAATTTATTATTTTTTTTTACTATTTTAACAAGTGCAGAAAAAAGTCGATAGCTTTTCAATAGTTCAAAACAGGCATTAAAAACAAATCAAGCAAATAAAGAAAGTGATATAAGTGAATACAAGCAGACAAAATAAATTTATTTCAACTCAAATGAAAAAACAAAAATAAAAATAAAAACCATAAACGAAGGAGCGCTAAGCAACTGCAAACAAACGAACAGATATTTATGTAAATTTAAGCGAACATAAAATAATTAATAATTACTCAAAGCCGCATAGAAAATTTTGTCTGACCACAAAAAAACAAACAAAAAAAATAGTAAACAAAACAAATGTTCAGTTCACATTCTAAATTAAGCTAAAAACCAAACCTCTAAGTAAAATGTAGTTAAAACCCCGTTATATTAAAAATTAAGTACATTGTGTAATTAAAATAAAAAACAATACAAGAAAAATAAAACTAAAGTTTTGACTGCCTTTTTTAAATTAAAAACAAACATATATATGTATAAATAAAAAGAAGATAATTATTATATAAAAAAAAAATATTTAATTTTATTAATGTAATAATTGCTAATAAAAAAGCAAACGATTTTGTTAAGTAGTAAAATAAAACAAAAATACTAATATAATAAAAAAATAAGCAAAACAAAAACAATGAGCTAAATAAAAATATTTACTTCAGATTCATACTTTGTGCGCGCAAATCACAAAGCGTTATAAAAACAAAAGCAAACACAAACTTAGTTATGTACAATGAATAAGTAAATATATAGCTAGCTATATATTTATTTTCAGCTTTACTGCTTCAAAACAATAAATGGAAATAGAAGTAAACTTAACGCCGAGCAAATCAACTCTGTACAGTGAAAATTAGGATTGTCACGATTGAGAGCGAAAACTTAATGAAATGAGAAAATATAAATTTAAATGACATGAAAATGTGTGCTTGGTTTTTTGTCGTGTTTTTTCAATAATTGATTAGTTTTCGCTTAATTTTTTTAATTTTCCAGAGGAATAATATACAGGGTTTTGTTCCTGCGTCCACAGATTGCTATACACGCTAGAAGCTAATGCTCCACAATTTCAAGCCCCATATCACAGCATCTATACATTGCAGATGCGTCGAAATCCATATTATATACGTGTCTCTTGAGCCTGCAATGCGCGCTGTATATAAGGTGAAAGAGCCTGAAGTGTCCAACCTAGATTCTTTTATTTAAATTAAATTATTCTCATTATTATCTTAAAACAAACCGCAGAAGACGATACCTTTTCACATAAAAGTTAAAGGTAAGGGTTAGTATCGTTTCAGCGCATGAGAGTACATTATCACTGTGGACTAAAGTTTAGATTTTTCTTTAAAACGTTTCATATGATTCCAAATAAGTTCTATGACCTGAGCTCTTTTGAGAACAGAAATTTTTTGGGCAATTCTCTTGGCCGTAAAAGTATACCAGTTCGTTCCATTTCCATAGACCCATAAGTCGTATAAACACGAAAAGCAGTTAGACGCCTTCTTCTATAACAAACTCTTATTATCGCTACAGTTACAAGCTCAAACAAGCTTCAGGGTGTGAATTACAGCTTATACTTGTATATAAAACATATTTCTCTCTCAAATGAGCGGAACTCAAGAATTAAAAACTTTTTAAGATTCATCATTATTCAGAAAAAAACAAAACAGGATTGTTTCTCGACAAAGTCAAATTTTCTAAGTTTTTGAGCTGAAATTAAGCAAAGCGTAAGCCATAGCTTATAATAACTTTTTACATTAGATTTCCTATTTTTTCGGAAGCACACATTTTCAGAACGCTGTAATAAAAAAAATAAGTGCTATGAATGCCGTAAAATTAACAAAACAAAATACAATGCAAACACAAAATAAGAGAATAGGAACAAAAAAATGCAAATACATATCAAAGCCTAATAATTTTATAAAATTTACTTTTGAAATATGTGCGTACTTCGCAGTGGATAAACATGCAGGAGTCAAATAATGCGATGAACAACGGCAAAATGTAAATTGCAAACAGTATTCTAAAAATTTGTATAAAAAAAATAATATAAATGAATAAAATCACGCTATAAAGTTTAGAAAAGCTTGTCACACGAACTCAACACATTTTAAAAATGCTATGGTTATTTATACAATAATACTGAGTTGGAAATTGCAATTTTTATTTTAATTTTTTTAAATTTTTTTTGTTTGTGTACAAGTTGTTAACTTTGTGTTCCTAGACTTTTTTTATTTCGTTTAAATCGTTATATCAGCTATTTTCGGTTCACAATTGAGAGGACATAATTTGATTTCAGTAGACAAACGAAGTTTGATAATAATACTGCTCTTCTATACTTCCTATTTTTGTTCCTCTTTTGAAAAAAATTAATTGTTGCGATCGTTGATTGGCTGCTTAATATTTTAGGTAGAACTGATGATACTAAATATGAAAGAAAATAAAAGCAAGAAAGCAAAAGATCTGGCAATTGCTAGGATGAGAAGTCAGTTCGAGGAATGTTAGTTAATTAGCACAATATGAGAAATCACAATGAACTTCACAATGAAAACTAGCACAAAGAACGAAAAAACAAGTTCTGAGAATACCCAAAATAGCGGAAGGATCGTGACAAGTCAGTTCGAGGACTATTAGTTAGTTACTTATATATGCGAAACCGCCATGATCATCAGGGCAAAATAAAACAACGAACGAAAAAACATTTGAGAATATTCAAAATAGGGGAAGGGTCGGTCTTGGATCATGAGATAAAAGCATGGAACCAACAAGATCTACCAGTTGCTAAGGTGATAAATCAGTTTGAGGAGTGTAAGTTATTTACTTGAATCAGAGAGACCGCGATGACTGTTTTAAACTCGCTTATTCGAATATTTTATAGCTTTAAAGGCAGCCTCGCTCCTTCTCTTTAGGTTCTAAAACTTACTTGAATAGCTGCAAGAATTTTATGAAGGATTTTTTGCATGAATTATTTTCAAATTTTGTTCTGGCCGGAGGCCTTCGAATATAATTTTCGATTCCTGCCATCAATTAATGTTACATAATCACTGCATTTGCATATAAAATCATGTCAAATTGAACCCACAAACTCAAGAACAAAAACTGTGTGACATAAGCGAACTGTAATTTTAAGCTGATGATAATATTGACAAATGTTTCAAATATAAATGTTTGTATGAGATTATAGAAATATAGCTGCACACTCACGTAAGCAAAAATATTAATAATTAACAAAACAAAAAACAAATATTTTGAGCTTTTTGATCGACTATGAGATGGATAAATCGGCGCGAATGATATACAAATGTATACCTATATAATTTATCCATTTAAAAGTATGTATATATGTACACTTACAGTTATATACGTATGTACATATGTATATGCAGAAGCACACAACCTTTGGCCACCGTACAACAATACAAACAAATTTATGCATATTTTGCTTTCGATGATATTTTTTCGAACGAACTTATGCCTTTAAATACTATTTACTTCGCTACTCGAGTGGCACTTATATATTATATGCAAATATTAGCTATACACTCTATATAAATATATTTATGTATGCAACTTTAACGCTACGCTACTTGTTAAAAAAGCGTTTGCA